ATTCATTCGCTTGTTTCAACAAATGTAGTTATTAAAAAGTTCAAATGGAATATTCAATCGCTATCACATTTTAAATCCAAAACTTGAACTTTCTAGATTTTGAACCAATTCGGTACATTATCATTTTGAATTTTTCTGGATATGTTCAATAACTGACAATTAGAAAAATGAAATTTTTAAAAATATTTTTACATTCCTCAAATTATCTTGAGTATCTAAAAATCTGCACAAGAAAAAATCAATAACTATCGTAACAAATCAAAATACTGTGAAAGTTTTTCATGACAGAAATGGAATGTGACCATTCTTATATCATTGAGTTTAAAAATAAACTAAAATTAAGTGTTTGAAATTGCATTTGGAATCAATGTTATCTTTTCTAAAATTACTCTCATATGGAAAATGAAAAGACTTGGTTACCTTCCGATTACGAAACATATTTTTTAAAATTTTCACTCCTAAATATATATGTGCAGAATGATAAGTTATGAAACATTTATAGCCAACATTTTTTAGAAATGCAAATGTAACCCTCTATATCTCAATTTGATTATTTTTGTATGCATACATTTAGTTTCAGAGTCAATAATATATGACGTAAATCAAATAATCATGGCTAATGTAAATCACATAATATTAGATGAGATTTAATAACATAACTAATGTTAGGTATAAACTGATAACAGCAGTAGAAAATGAATGAAATGAATGAAAAAAAATGAAAAAGTGAAGAAATAAATGAAAAAGTAAAGTGAAGAAAATTTTTAGCACATTGACATTCTAGAAAAGTATGTTGATTTTAGATAATAATAATTTCGATTGAAGTTATTTTATAAAAAAGGATACTTTACTTTTAGTGAAGAAAAGGGTTTTCCAAATGACCTGGTTATTAATTAATTTTAAAAGGAATTTTTAATCACTTCTTGAAGAAAATATTCTAGTAAAACCACAACAATTTTTTTTATTTTAAATTTTACTTTTTTTTATACTGAAAAAACAGCATGACACATTTATCTTAGTGAAAAATTCAGAAAAGAATTTTCTTGATTAATTACTAGCAGAACATTTCTCCCTTCGATAAAATCTTTGCGTTGTAATAGTTGAAAGGAAATGAGTAAGTTATAATTTAAAGTACATTTTCAATGAAGGAAACGGATATACAATATACCTTTAATGTTTGTAAAAAATAGATAAAGTGTTCTGTAGTGTTTAATTTTTATTTGCTAATTCCTTTTTACTGCACTAATTTTGGTTATTCTAAACATTCTGAATCCATTAAAGTTTGCAAAAATAAAAGAGAATTTTATATATATTTTTTTGATTTATTTAATTACAGCAAAGCACACGAGGGCTATATGTTTAAGACGAAGGATGCCTCCATTGAAGAGACTTTCTATGGGAAACTAGCTCTTATTCATGTTACACATGGGAGCACAAAAAAGCTCATGCAGCCAGCCCGTTCACCTCCAACTGAACCGGGTCAAACTACTAGCCTTCAATGAATTAAGAGAGAAAATATTTAAGAATGTGCTTGTGCTAGTAGGTAACGATGTAACTTTAGGTAAAATTTCGCAAACTTTTTTCCCTTTGAATAAAATATTAAAGCAAACTGTATTATTGTTTTACATACTATATCTAAATACCAGTGCTAGAAACAAAAAATATTTCATTGATAAGTAAATAATGAGACTAATATTATATGAATTTTCGCAAAACTAATGAACAATGCATAAGGCAAGTTTTAACAAAGAGCTAGAACAGGCTACTCTTGAAGTCTCATCAAAATTTTTCATGGTTTAACAAAATCCAATTCATTTTAAGTTAAATAATTCGCAAAGAAAAATTATAACTATATTTGTTTTAAAAAAATTCAACTACTTCAGATTTCAGCAAAAGAAATCTGGGGAGAAAATGTCTTCAAAAGAAAAGGAACGAAAAGTAAATGAACCTAATTCTTTGATCTGCAAAATTTGAGCGAAATATCATTAGGTATAAAGTTTCAAGTAATAATATCTCACTGGTTAAAGTAGTGGTAAAAAGCTGTAGTAAAGTATTTTCAATAATAGTTCCAAGTTTCACTTTAGAAACATTTTAAAACATAGATAACAAATCTTTTGAATGAAACAAAGGCCCAGTGAGTCTCAAACACAGTCGAGTGGCACTAAAAAAAAGAAAGAAGGAAAAAAGAGAGAGAGATAAAAGAAGATTACAATAATGAAAGCCTTTTTTTTTTTAAACAGAAGGAGATTTTTCATCTAAACAGTCGGATCCCTCCTTTTCTTCTTTCACTGAACCAGTTTCCCTCAGAAAGCCCTCCACGAAGGCGTCCCTTTCCTTAGGCAGTACTCCTCAAGTGCTTTGCCGTAATTAAATTAAATATACCATATCTTTTCTTTTCCTCATCATTTTCCGCTTGCACCATCCATTCTACTTCGTACAAATACTCTTAAGTTAAATTAAATTTGTATTTATTTTGTCTGTTTAGAACTGTGTTTAACTTTTTGGATTATATTTAATAATATCCATGAGTTAAGAGCATGTGTACAAAGTATTGTTGTAAATTATAAAATATGTTATTGGTAAAAGATTTTGAGAAATGTACATTCGTGTATCTGTAAACATATATTTGAATTTTATAAAATAAGTAAATTCTAGCTTTATATATGTCAGCATTACAGAGTTCTCAGTCTAGCGGCGAACTGATCCTAAATATGAAATAAAAATTAATATCCACTGTACCGTATTGAAGCAGGCATATGTCACTAGATAGCAGCACTAAAATACTAACTCATTTCTGTGTTTGAAGATAAAAAGTGCAAATCAATAATTATTAAAAATACTGTTAGAGTTTAACACTTTCTAAGTTAGCGATCCCTGAAATATCGCTTGAGGTTTTTTTTTTTTTAAAGAACACTTAAATTTCAAAATCAATGCGATATCATAAACCTTTTGATTCTACACATCTTAACAGTATACTTAAACGCTAGAAAAATATTAAAACTTAACCTCATTTTCTCCGTATTTCATGAAGAAAGAAGCAATCAAACAATCAAATTCAAGCTCTTTTTATTTATAAAATAAAGAATTTTAATAATTTATGAGAAATAAAAGCTTAATTTAAAAAAGAAAGAACCTGAAACATTGAGTTATTCCACCTGAAATTTTTAAAATGATCTTAGTTTAGACGCGCTTTATGGAATAGCTGAAGTCGCAACAGTAAAGAGTCCTGCTTTCCACAAAGCTTTCAAATCATTAATTAATTTTAAAAACAGTTAAGCATGCACATTAAGGTAAGTAGCCCCTATTTTATAAATCTGCAGTGACTTTGTTATCGAGGGAGTAACAACAGGTATCCCAAAAACTTAAAACTTCATATTCAAGATTTTTATTAGATTAAATACGTCAGAAGAAGACACTTTTTTTTATTGTTCCAAATAGCTTCTTCTTTGAGACAAAAAAAAAAAAAAAAAAAAAAAAAAAAAGGAAAGTTTTCAGATTTTACATTAGGCTCGCAGAGGCGTTTTTTAACGTTTTGTGTATTACCATTATTTATTAAATATCATGTTCTTCGCACTTAAACCATAAAATTCAATTCAACGGCAATATCGCAAAATAATTTTAAAATGAGCATACCTTCAGAATTTCCAATACAGAGTCTCGCGCGTTGGAGATAATTTTTTTTTTCTTCCTCCCGCACAGTGTTATCATTGCTCGCTTTGAAATCGTTGAGTTTGTTAATCAAAAATTCGTTAAAGATTTACAAAATATGAAGTAGCTAATAAAAGAAATTTCAAATTTGGGCTTCTAGATCCCCATATTCAGTTACGTTATTCAAAATTTGGTGGCTCTATGTACCGCTGTTTTATCACAATACGAGAAACATATGTAGATTTATGCAGATTCTTGATTATTTAATTTCTTTAAGTATAATAACAAATATATTTCTTTAAATATATAACAGAGCTGTATGGCAACAGTTTGAAAAGTGAACCGATATTTAAAGTTTTCAGTGCAAAATGCCAAATTGAAATTAATAGCCCTTCTGGGCTAATGCGCTTTGTGCGAAATAAATAAATAAATAAATAAATAAAATTACATTGTTTTTCCCAAAACTTTTAATAATTATATCTTAACGGTTTTAAGTTTATTCTTGATCACTTTTAAAAATTATGGTGAAATAGTTATGAAGAGTCTTTTAAGTTAAAACAACTGGGAAAAAATAAACGCTTTTAAATTTTAATAAGTGTATACTAACATTTGTAATAAGAAAAGTGAACTAAAGCTCTATCAAAATTTTATTAAATACAAAGCATAAAGCCATAAATTACTTCCCACTAAATTTAAAAGCCTAGTTCCCACTAAAAATACGTTTAAAAATTATATTAGGAAGAAAACTAAAATACAGCCTACAACTTTCACCTAATCCCCCCCCTCCTACTTACACACTTGCAACAGAAAAATCAGCATGAGGTGACCGCTGTAGGTTGCTTTGATGATGCGACTCCATGTAATAACTGGTGTTCGTTGCGTATTACCTACTGCATACAGAACTAAAATGCATTTAATATAAATCTATGAGAAATCCCATTAACAATGATATTTAAAGGCATACAAAAATTTGTTGTAAGTAAAAATCCTCTTTACGTGGGGAGCTTGCTAGCGCCAAGAGTCTCTTTAGTCGAGAGTTTAAGAGCATTCTGAGTTCTTGCCTTGTCTAAAACAGTTTGCAGACTGAAGTTTGCTGACTGGAAGGAGTCTGCAGCGATTTCCGCTTATTTCAACATAGAAATATAACTTGTTAGATATTTTATTACAACAAATGTTTTTCTACAGTATTTTAAGCAATAAATTATTAAAATTCATCGTAAGGTCTAAAGATTCATTTGGCCTTTCTAGCATAAAGATGAGTTTTCGTTTAATTTCATACCTTTAAATGCTTTTTACTTTGCGTTACAGATTTTTCATGAAGAAATACTCTAATGAAGGTTAGATTGACTTACCTTTATCCAAATGCAAATTTCTGTTCTTAACCACTCGAATGATATCATTCTCTTTGAAACTCAGGAGAGTAGCTTCGCGTGTGACATAATCAGCAACAGCTCTGACGTATTCGTGACCACCCTGCAAATAGAAAAATTATTTTATAATTATTTTTAGTATCAAGCGTAGGATGTAATTAATGTGAATTGTAAATTATTTTAACGATGGGATTTCATACTAGAAAATTATTCCTTTACAGTCGACGAAAAAGAAATTGAATTTTAACTAGACAAAGTCTGTTCAAGGAAATAGTTATCGCGGTTTAAGAATCGATTTTGAAACCTTACAATATTCCAATTTCAAAGAAATAAATTTAAACCTAAAAATTAAACAGGAAAGCTTATAACGATTTCTTAACCATAGATCTTCAGAAAAAACAACTGCTGAGAAGCCAATTTTTGAAATCGTAAAGCTATAATTGAAGCCATTTAGTTTAATATCTACTATTAAATAACGAGGAATTTAAGAAACTTTTAACTAAAACCTCCGGTATGAAAGGAGTGTGTTGCCACTCTACAAAACGAAATATATTTTTCTTTCGAATTTAATCTACAAACTCAGCGATTTAAAGGAAATATTTTGCCACTACCAGAATTAAAATATTTTTATCTTTCACGCGGCCGTTTGTTGTCGTTCAATAGAGCATAAGATATTTCATTTTTCTTTCAAATTTATTAAGTGAATTAATTATTGTGAATAAGATTTCCCCATTTGAAAAAATTACATTGAACTACACTTTTCACAATACTCTGCATAGAAATGCTCGTTAGTAAATCTCCTAGCATCTGAACCTTTATCTAAACTATTTTAGTTGATTTTTTATTTAATATTTTATTTTTAGTTAAGTACACATTCATACATTTCGCTCTTCACTTTGCGTACCACCCATGATCCAAAAACCAAGATAATTGATATTAAAGACCCATGTCTTTAATACCAATTATCTTGGTTAATTTTTGTAGCACAGGAGTAGAACTTTTTGCGTTTTGTTTTTCACGAGTACAAAATTTCTTAAATATAAGTACGGAGACCAGTTGAACGTTGAAAAAATTAAATTCCGCTTTTTTATTCAAAATTATTAGTCCAAAGGGGCTTTGTCTCTGAAGGACTATTGTTTTCGTTTTGCGATTTTGCGTTGAATCATTACAAATGCCCGTTTCACTTTTCAAACTGTTGCCACCAAATGTTAGAATCCTGCATTATAATTGAAGAAATTAAATAATGAAAAATCTGCGTAAATGTACGTATATTTCTCGCACTGTGATAAAACAGCGGTACATAGAGCCATCAAATTTTCAGTGACGTAATCCTCCTACGAATATGGCATGTGGAAGACCATTTAGAATTTGGAATTTGTTTTATTATCGATTTCATATTCGATTCATATTTCACATTACGAATTTTTGAATAACAAACTCAACGATTTAAAAGCGAGCAATGGCAACACTCTACGGCGGGGGGGGGGGGAGCCTTTTTATCTCCAGCGCGCGGAACTGTGTATCGGAAATTCTAAAGATATGCTCATTTTAAAATTATTTTGCGACATTGTTATTGAACTGAAATTTATGGTTTAAGTGCGAAGAACATGATATTTAATAAATAAAGGTAACACATAAAACGTTAAAAAACGCCCCTTTGGGCGTAATTTAAAATCTGAAACCTTCCAGTTTTTTTTTCTTTCTTTAAAATTTTTTTAAATTTGACAACACAAAAACATGAATCTGTGTTGTTTAAAACATTATGGTACTTCAAAGAATATGGCTGCGTCGAACGGTACCGTAAATAAAGCTAGGGTAAGTATTTATAGCCAGGGTAAGTATGTGGACATGGTGTGTGCATTTTTTCCCTCTTTTTAATAATAACTTTAAGATGGATGGCCACGCAAGCGGCTAGTAAATAATAGAAACTGTAGTTTGGGTATTGTTTCCAGAATTCGTAACAGCGATCGAGACCGCTCTGCGAATTTCATTCCAATTTGCAAGCGAAAAAATCGTCTTTAGGAAACATTTAAATGATAACATCCGAAGTACAATGGGGAAGCCAGAGGAAAGGAACAATTTCAGGAGAATAGCCAACGTCCCATGAACACTGTACAATGATATCTTTATATCGATATAGACTAAAACTGGTACTAGGCATCGGAAGCTAGATATAGCGGTTTACGGGTCCTGATGGCTATAAGTAGATTATTGTGGTCTTTTAACGTCTGCCCGTCAGCGCCACTAGTAGAGCAAAGAATATAAGGGTTGGATAACTGATCAATGGAGTAAGTCACTGCACTGTTAACTTATGAGAACAAATTCAGCCTCAGTGATGATTCTAAAAGTCAGCTAATCTAGTGCGAGGCAGGCACATCACCCCATTAATATTTTCTAAACAGTTCGAAATGGCAGTCGAGTTGTTCTCATCTTGTGAAGCATTATGCTGAATAGATGAGTAGAGATGCATCTGGAAGAAGCTGGTACTGCAGCCAGTGGTAGTTACCGTCGAAGGATAATCCCACTCCTTATGCATTTGTTCCGAGGCACCACTGATCTCGATTCTGTTTTTAGAAATGATAATGCAACAAACCTAATATATTGCGAGTATTGGTATACTGTTGGGAAGTGAAGATATAACTGGAATGGATTAGCTTACTGACTTCTCAAATATAAATTCTCTTAAATATTTTCGGGATATTTTGATAGAGGTCTTGTGATACATCCAAGCAAATTCATTTACAGTTGTTGAAAATGGAACTCAGAAAATTAGGGATAAAGTAATCAGAATAATTTATCGACTACCTTTTTCGAAATATGCATATGAAGTGCAAACTTCGACATACCTCACTATCAGCGTTCTAGGTAATCACAAGATTAATACTATACTACAAGGTTTTCTCTTACGGGACATCACTGATGTCGTCACTAACACATAGTCTCCTTAAATGCAAATTTTCCCTACTCCCTTTGTGGCTTCGTTTCTCTTACTACTCTAAGTCAATTATTGTCATTCAACCCAAGCGGTGGAAAGAGCCTCTAACCTTGCTTGTCTGCTGACATCCCTGAAAACCAATTTTTGTTTTTATTAACTTTTTGATAACGATTCTTTTGTTTTACAGCAACCAAAGTAACGTAAGCCCTCCTGGGAAATGTTTGAACATTTTGTATTAGTTATTATTACATTAGTTTTCTTCATCACTATGGTGCACTTTCAATATTATATATATCAAACAATACAGTTACAGTCAAAAAATTTCAAAATATGCCAACGGCAACACTTTATTATTAAAATTGATCAGCCTCTTGAAAAAAAAAAACTATACATAGCGTTGGAAAGCTACATGTGAAACGAACATGTGAACGACATGACGAAAGCTGCCAGCGTAAAACATTTGCAAAGAACCAATGACAACACAAAAAAGGAGAGCGAGAAAAACTTTTGTTGGAATTACAGGTTTTCAAAATGCTTTCAAAGAAGATAACGCTTTGCATTCCGTAAATTTTTGGCAACAATGGTGGAAGTAACATTGCAGGAGGAATCTATATAACTTCGCGTTTTATGGCATTCTTCAATTCTGACAAACCTCCTGGATTTGACGTGTACACCTTAGATTTCAAATAAGTCCAGAACCAGAAATCAATTTTTGTGGTGTCGTTAGTGGCCACGAACTGCACAGTTAGTGGAGCTGACTCTACCCTAAAACGTCGTACAAGTTGAAAACTTGCGTTTCGAATAAAAGTTTTTTCCCTCTCTTCTTTTGTATGCATTGGTTCTTTACAATGTTCTTTTTTGCAAATGTTTTACTCGGCCAGCTTTCGCCGTACGTGTATTCTAACACCACTTATGTTTTTTAAATGCACTGATCAGTTAGTGCAAGGAAAAAATGGTGCTGCCGTCCGAAAATTTCGCAATTTTTTCACGATAACAGCTTTATTGTTTTAAATCATTACAATCTCAAATGACAATATCGAAAATTTCATTTAGGCTGGTAGAGTGGATAGCCGTTAGGGTTCATACATCGAAGAAGTTTTTTTATTACTATCCTGTATATACATATAGTTTATTACATCTAAACAATTATACTTTTTATTGTAGTTAAAAGTTTTGTTGTTTCTTAAGTTTCGTATGTCGTCATACATCCATTTATGTTTATTCATGCCTATAACAGACTTATTGAGGACTACAGAAAAAGAAACTTTGTTCAGAAGTAAGTTTTCGCAAGCATGTCGGAAACACAGAAAAAAGTGTAAGCCCTAACTGTGTGAACTAGAATATTAGAATCTTGAAGATTATGCCGGTAGTTTTCCATAAATTTGGATTACCTTCTGATCAACAGACACAGGAACTTGATAGCCTTCTAATTATTCTTCATGAATTTTGCTTCAGTACTTATTTTCGAAACTGCGTTCTGATTTCAAACATGCATCGGACTTTGCACTGAATTTTAAAGATGCAATGATTTAAAATACTAGTATTATTCCAGATTTTCCTTAAGAATGTATTCTCATTTACTGAATCTAATAAGAGTTTTCCTTAATACATTATTTTTTTGTTGGACATCGGTCTCCGAACCATTCATTTATCCACATACGTTAATTTATAATCAAAGAAATTTATTAAAAAAATAAAATATAAAATGCAAATACTTACTTGAGCAGCTTCCACACAAAACCGCTCAATCATATTTCGAATTCTTTCGGCCTATAAAACAAGAAATATAATTAAAATTTATTTGAAGCAAAATATATATATACATATTTGCCCATTATCATTAGTTAATCATACAAATGATAATGCCACGTTGATGTTTTTCTTTAATTGAAAATAATTTTAAATTTAATTTTAAATTAACTGAAAATATTTAAACAGTATTAGCAGCATGGTAGGAAGCAATAGCATTAAATAAGGTGAAAGTTTAATTGTGATACAATACTCAAGATCAAGTTGTATTGGATTGTTGAAGTGGTGCCCTGGTGTTCCTCGAGGGTAAACAGCCACTAGACCTAGATATACTGGCTGATCAAGTACACCCTGCAATGTTGCATTTTTACCCTGATTGCAACGGATACTTAATGGACGATAATGCAATTATACATCGGGCCAGAAGTATTCAAAATTGTTTCGCTGAACATCAGTCTGACTTCCAACACCCCTAGCCACCGCATAGCCTGGGTCTTAACCCCATAGAAAATGTATGGGATATGGTGAAAAGACGCATCGGACAGCACTCTCCTCTTCCATCTAATTTGCAAGATCTAAAAAGCTGCATAGCCAAAGCATGGCTCTGGACGTAAATGCAGTCCAGAAGCATGTAGACTCGATGCCCAAACGAATCAGAACAGTTATCTGTGTGAAAGGTGGTCCAATAAAATATTGGTCTTGGGTTTCTAATTCAATGGCCAATGTGTGTAAATATTTATGGCAAAATAAGGGAAGAACATATTGTCTAATAAATATGTCTAGTTTGAATTTATGCTGACTGTAAATCAAAAGTTGAACCAAACGTTAAAGTGAAAAAAAATCAAAGTTTTATAACTAATTCCTTTCGCTACACAGAAATTATTGCTAGAACGTAATCGGAAACTTTAAGAAATTTTAACTACCCAGCACCAATTTTTTTATGTTACGTGAAAGACTGCAATAAAAAATTTTCCACTTACTTTGTGAGAATAAAGCGTCATCCAGCCGCCGTTTCGTAATAGTATCTGAATTGTACTGCTCCTCGGTACACTTACTTCAGCAATATCTTCGAAACTAAAAAGGAGGAAAATAAAACATTAACATGAACGGCTAATGAAAAGTTGTAGTTTTATTTGTTATGAAAATAAACAAAGCCAAAAAAATGTGTTTTATTTCTTACTGATAGGTATTGATTGCGATTTTAGATCTTTTAAGTGTACTTAGAATTTTTAACTTTTACGTTTGTCTCTATTATATCATCAAATGTTACACTCGCAAGTTTAGTTTTAAATAAATTTATTAAGTAGGGAACATAACGTTTTACTAAAACAATTCAATAAATTCTTGATTTTTAATAAGAATCTTCTGAAAAATTCCTCAGATACTTTAACGGAGAATTAATTCATTTAAAGTGAAAAATGCACTTGAATAATATTTATTAACTGTTAAACTCATACTTATCAAACAATGAACTGGCATTACATATGAAATAGCAATGTTATCTTCCAAAACAATCAAATTTACATATAATTAAAAAATTTCAGGTTTATTTCAGTGCTTTTATCAAACCATACAACAGTCCATTTTCTAATTAAAATTAGCACCAGAAAATTAGATTTAAAGAATTCAGAAAATTAGACCTAAAAGTAATACCAGAACATATCTGGTAAATAGATAGTAAAGAAAACGATACAATTTTAGGTTTACATAAGAAACTAAATTAGGAGTTTCTAAAAAGCAAGAGTGATGACATTCTCTTTCATATAAAGAAAAAGAAGAAAGCAAAATAAAATATATGCAAATCGGCAAAAATATATCCAAAGAATAACTTACATTCATAATAATAGAAGGCTGCCTAGAAATAATAACAAATGGAATTAATAATGGAGAAAGGTGCGCTGCTTTTGTAAAAATTCTATCACATTAGAATACTCACTAAAAATGGCGTCAATGACAAGTTGCATTGCGTATTCAGCCGCTTAGTCATAACATTGCTTAGATAACCGAATGCCATGGCCATCATGCTGGAGAACAACTTCACTATAGCCTCGAAAAGCATTTTGTTTACATTTTGATAAAAAGGATTTGCTTTTATATCCGAGGTGCGATGCAAAAAAAGTGAGTAAGACATGTAAGCGGTCCGAAAATTTTATCTTTCCTTATGACAGTTACAATGAGATAAAGTAGCTGTCAAAATGAGTCAGTGTACTTCAATTACCTTCTTTAGATGTCCGGATTACTGTGTAAGCATTTGGTGCGCATTTTTGAGCATTTGTGTTACTTTAAATCTTTTTTAATTTTCTGATAAGGAAATGTAAGAAAAACATTGCAGATGTGACACTTATAGGATAAAAAAACAATTAGGCTTACAAACGAGCAGTGACAAAAATTAGGAGGGCAAAATTAAAATTGACGTTTCGATACATGTATAAACGTTATGAAAAAATGTGCTATTCTTCTAATACACTAATACTAATGCTACACGTCACTAAATACAGAGATTTTTCAGGGCCCATCAACACTCACTTATTTTTGGAAGAGAAAAATAGAGCTGTAGATCGATTTGAAGGCTCACTAAAACCTAGGACCTTATACTTGGGTCATGACTGCTTAAGTGATAATCAGATCCTCTCCTCACATCACAGCCATAAAATGTCAGTTGAGGTTATTTGAAGTGTAATCGTTTAATTTACGCTGATCGTTGAAAGCAATTATTATTAAAAAGTAGAAATATGACTAAATTATTGGTTTCCGGTTTTGGATATTGTGTCTGCTTGACAGTATATTTAAAAATTCAATTCCTCATCTTCTCCATTAGGAACTGTCAGCAGTTAGTTTGATGGTAATAGATGAGGCAAATCATACTAAGATAATCTGGCCTAGAAGGGAATAATAACTATACGCATTCTGCATGCCTTCTAGGACCGCACTACATGCCCCCCTTTAAACACTCCATTTTAGGCAGGAGCTTCGGATTCGCAAAACTCGCCGAGAGAATGCAATATAATTAAATTACATCGCGCCACCCAAATCCCAGATGCGCGGAATAAAAAAAGAATTATATCTATCGGTAAGGTCAGATGTTAATAGAACTTACAACACTTGTTAATAGGGGCTTTTTACAAATTATATACATATGGTAGGTTGCAGCTTACACCTCTTTACCAGGCTTTCGCCTATTATATTAAGATTCTACTTCTGTGATGAAGTGTTCACTTTAACCATGATGGTTCTAATTCCTTTTGGTGCGATAGTAATCTGTGAATAGCGTTGTTGTAAGAGAAAGATTGCGTAGTTATATGAGAGATCTTTGTAGTTCTCAGTTCTTCTCTTCTAATGCCGCAAGCCCAGTTTACATTATTTTTCAAGAAGCGAATGCAGTATTATGGTAATTTCATGTGGTTAGAACACGTTTGTAAATAATAATTGTCAGATTTTAAGTTTCAGAGAGTGCTTTGTAGAAGATTGCATAGGTAAGTCTTCGTGTATCTTCGTTGTTCCACCTCTCCTGCTATTCTTCTAAGAATGCCGAATTCATGTAATTTTTTCTCGTCTCTTCTGAGAAAAGAGACTCCTCGTTTATGTCCTTTTTCAGATTTTTAATATTGTTTAGTTAATTTTTTTAATATTAGTTAATTATTAATATGTTTTAATTTTAAACTTAATTTAGTTAATTTTGCTCTTCATCTGCTCTTTCGCTGCCCCTGATTCCTTACGGCACCGAATCCTGTTTAGGAAAGTGGGGTGGGTGATCTTTAGCGTTGCTAACACTTCTCGTAGTGCATATATGTTGGTGGCTTTGAGTTTCTTTTATTAATTTCTTTAATCGCCTGTCCGAATAGAATACAGTCATCTCTGCGATTCTTTCCTCTGCCCCTAAGGCTGATTTGCGAAAAACATAAAACTCCGCTTGGAAAACGGAGCAGGATTGCTAAGTCTAAATTCTTTGTGGTAAACTTCAATGTTGTCTTTAAATATTACGTCGGCTGTCCCTGCGCGATTTTCTGATTTCGAACACTCCAATAAATATTTTTATCTTCTGGGGATGGAGCATAGGTGTTCCTCTCTTGCGCCGGGTGTAGACGTATTTGCTTGTTTGAACGCTGGACGTTTTTACTATGTAAAATTATTTTTTCTTTGCTCTTTCCATCTGAATCGTTCTGAAGGGGCCTGTAGATTCTGCATTCTGTCTTAGCGCCAAGAAAGACCAGAACCTGGGTTCATATCGCTCGATGAACCTCTTGCAAGCTCTAGGCAAAATTTATGAAAGAGCAATCGTCGGACGCCTTAGACACCATTTCCACAAAAGCAATATAATTAGCCGAAACCAGTTTGGATTCACGCCGAACAAATCAACGCTGCATGCGGTGAATGCTGCAGTTCAACAAATTCTCAAAAATAAGGCAGAAAAATTTCATTCAGCATTGCTTTGTCTGGATATTTGAAAAGCATTAGACTCTCTGTGGTGGCCAGCAGTACTCCAAACCCTTAGAGAGTCAAACTGCCCTCAAAATCTATTCTACTTAATGGAAACCTAATTTCGCTATGGAAGAAGTCCAATCATTCACAATAACAGAAAAATAAAAAAAATCCGGGAAAAGGCTAGCCGAGTCATACGACAGCCTTTGCAAACGACGCAGCATTCAAAATCAAAGGCCGTACAGTGGAAAATCTCAGGAAAAATGCAAATGAAAAACCTACAAATGTTCGATTCACTATGTAAAGCACAAAAACTAAAAATTAACAACAACAACGAAAATCCCCAAAAGTCATATTCCACATACCAGGTCAAAAAATCCTGAGATTTGAATTGAACAATGAAAGGGTCCAAGTGATCAAAAGCACCAAATACTTAGTCAAATACTTGATCAAAAACTGAGTTGGCTGGAACATCTCGAATATCTGAAATTGAAGTCTTCGAACAAAGCCAAAAACTTCCGCAAGCTACAGGGGCAAAGTTGGGGGCTAAACCTACAATCCAAAAAATCATCTTCTCGACAGTGATTGAAAGAATGATGACTTACGGAGCTGCTAGCAGAGCTCACCCCCTTAACACTAGGAAGGCCAAAAAAGCTGCAAGCGATACAACAACAATATCCATTCCTATTGGATATCTCAAGCTGCTAAAGGACAACTTCCAATGCAACACTTTATGCAATAACGGGTATTCCTGCTGTCTTCCTCAAGGTGGAAATAGAAGCGTACTTAAAATGCAGCTATCCCAAGAACACCCGTATAGCAAACACTCAGCTATACCTACAAATTTAACGCTCAAAATAGATGACCAACCATATAAAACCTCACGTGGCTCCAGAATATATATTGACGGCTCCAAAGATGAATCAAGTACCTGGTATGCATTCACATGCATAGGACAACACTCCAATGTTCTTACAGAAAGAAAATTCCTTCTACACAAGAACATCAGCATCTTCCAGACAGACTCATGGCCTTGTAAGGTATTTTTCCCGCCTTCTTAGCATGCCTTCGTGGTGTAGTGGTCGGCGAAGGCATTGCTCATTTTTCATCTCTCCTTTCAAAAAATATCTAATGTCTCTGCAGTGGCGCCCGAACTAAAAAGTGGTGAATGATGATTCTTCATCACCAGGATTTAATGACTGGGTCCCCTAAAGCAATAGTCTTCCTTTAAAAGGGGGAGTATATAAGGTATTTCTCTCGCTTTCTTAGCATACCTTCGTGGTGTAGTGGTCAGCCAGCTCGACGTGAATACGAGAAGTCCATTGTTCGAGTCCTGGCGAGGACATTGCTCATTTTTTATCTCTCCTGCTTTCAAAAAATACCTAATGTCTCTACAGGGCAATAAAAGAAGGTCTTAAACACGGTCTAAATTTCAATTTTAAAGAAATAAATTCTTCAGACTCACAATCTGCCATAAAAGCCCTAGCCAATCCTCGCACAAGCAGCATAATAAGGGAGAGAGGAAACCTATCTTCAGCCAACAGCAACAAAAAAAAAAAAAAAAAAAAAAAAAAATTAAGCTTGAATAAAAGCACATGTCGGCTACTCAGGAAGTGAGAGGGCAGACCAGCTTGCCAAAGAAGCAGCAAAGGACCTCACCAGAGCCAAAGTTGATATACCATGGCCATCCTCTAACCTTAAAGCACTTATTAACTGGCTAATTTCAGGTCACAGCCCTTTCCCTACATATTTTTACGAAAGGAATATGTGCCTATCAGATAGCTGCCAATGTTGGGAAAGGGGTGACCCAAAACATTATATCTCCAACTGTCCACTGACAAGTGAGTGGCAGCTCAAAAGACCTAATACAGTCAAAAGTCGTTAATCCGGACTCGTCGGGACTTCGGCGATTCCGGATTATAGATCATCAGTTTAAATCTGGTGAGATGGCATGCAGAAATTACAAAATTAAAAATATGAAACCGTAATTTATAAATAAAGAACAATTATGATCTGAAGGGTATCAAAATTTACAAAAAGAAAAAGCTTAATATTTATTTGTTTACTTTATTAAACATTTCTTTCATTGTAAGTTGCTTCGTTTCATGTGATAATACTTTCTCTTTAATTCTATTAAACAGATATAATTTCTTGTTTAGTTACAAAGTTCCGCTGTTCAAGTCCTATAATTGCTGTGTCGAGAATACCGACTAATTTGTCAATCGAAATTTTTTCATTTTCAATAACCTCTGTCACTTTCTTCACTATCGGAAGCGAATTATAATGACGAGGAACTTGTTTTAAATCATATCAAAGACGGAGCACATCGAGATGAAATACTACATTTGGTAAGGAATTATAAGCCAAATAAAATAAAAACATCTGCCCTGAAGATAAGGATAGTGCTGACAGATCAACTTCCAATTCATTACGCGCCGCGGCGTTCCCCCCGCCGAGCAGCGTGAAATTGATAAACAGATTTCGGGTTTCGAAACATACTTTCGCTTTAGATCCTTTACATATTAACAAATATATATCGTAAATTCTATTTGATATAATCGAAAACTTAAGCTTACTTTTATAAAATTGCTCCAACAGTCTGCAAAAAATAATAAGCCGGATCCAATTCGAAGATTAAGGAACAACGCAATCTGCAACATTAACTGAATTAGATAATTTTAGCTTAGCTTACACCGTCCGTTATACATTAAACGCGCATGCGTAAACGTTTTATGAGCATGCGCACAAGCATATTCGCAGCCGCACAGGTCTTACGCGCGCACGTAAACGCCTATGCGCATGCGTCAACGCGACGCATGCGCAGAAAGTTTGTAGCTTTTAGGTCCGGATTATAGATCATTCCGGATTATGGGTGTCCGAATTAACGACTTTTGACTGTATTGAGATCCTGCATTTAGGAAATTCCCCTACAAATACAAACATCTCAGAGCAATATTTTCAAGATAATGGAATTTCTTGCAAGTAGAGGCCCAGAATTATGCATCCCATCATGGGAAGTAATTACCAAATATATGTCTGTACGTATGACAACGAAAGTACTGAACAACAGCAAGCCATAAATAACCTCAGCTCCGCAGCCACACAAATTAAAAGACCATACACCAAATTAAAACACCAATACAAGGCATGCTATAATATGTGAACACAATGATCTGGCAATAAAAACATTTCCGCCTTTTTGTAAAAAAAAACCCTATTGTATAAACGAAGTATTTTTATTTATATCACAGTTTTCTACTGCCGTTTTAAACTATGAAATCCATGCAATCTGTGAATAAATAAAAGAAAGTGACCATGATGTAAGTCACCTAATTTTTATTCTTGTGTATCTGGATACAATATTAATGAAGTATTAATGCATTTGTATTTTGTAATTAAAATAGCTGAGCATATTTGCAAATTTTAAATGTAATACATGACAGTTCACATATATAATTAAAGAACTAACCTTATTGTGTCCAAAACTCTCAAGTAGTCGCATATAGCGTCACGTTCTCGTCTGACCAAGCGTACACCTGAATGAGACACACCTAGTAGCTGAACATTTGGCAGATTTCTACCTCCCTGAAAAAATTATGAGACTCATAAAAATTTTAAGCTTTCAGTTCACTTAATAACAATAAGCTTTTGAACCGTTATAACCGAACGTTGCTACGTCTAAATATTAAATCAAGAGAAAAGATAAATAGATGATTACAAAGAAAAGCTGCTGCAATAAATTCTTTAATAAAAGAGCAGCACATTAAAATTGAAAATTTTCACGTCACAAAATTTTAATCAGGGGAAAATAATCTACAATAAAACAAAGCATATACAGTGATATTGATTATCTTTAATTATTGCTTATGACACATACAAATTTATGTTTCTAAGGAATATGACGCTTCAAATAATATTTTTAAGTAGAGGAGAAAAAGGTTTCATTACAGCAATCAATTATTACTCAGCTTAATAATTAATTCTATTAATTATTAATTCTATAAGAGGAAATTTTATCTGTGAATAGGTTTAAATTATTCTGTGGAACCAAAGGATAAGGTATAAAGAACAATAGTGGCATGTATTACATCTTGTTAATTTCAGTCCCAGATCTTGATTATAATACCAAAATATGTAAATTTGCGAGTTTAGACAAGATTAGATATAAAAGATTTGCCAATATTTCGGTGTATATACATTATCAATGTTCTGTACAATGGACATGATACATATTTTACTCTGAAAAAAATACGAGATCTAATTATGGTCTTATATGCAGTCGCACTGAAGAGTTTACAGGCTGTTAAGTAAAGCTGAAGAATATTTGTAACATTTTGTATCAGCAAATATTGTAATGATGTATTACAAAAATGTCATGTATGTATCTTTTATTTCCTATAGCATGTAACTTAAAATGTGGTCTTGTATTTCCAAATTATAGTCATTTTTCAGAAAACGTCAAGAAATGTAAAAATGTAATAGCTACAAACTGGATAGTACTCTTATCAAACTTATGTCTACGAAAAATATTTAGGCAAACAAACACGGATTTCTACGGGCAATTAATAAGCCCCATAGATTAAGACACAATAACACGCCGAACAAATACTAATTCAGAAGTCACACGCCGAACAAATAAAGTCACACGCCGAACAAATACTAATTCAGAAGTCAATTTTCACAGTGAAAATTTTGGAAATATAACTCTGATTTTTGTTATTTGACTTCTGAATTAAGCCCCATAGATATTGGACAAAAGCATGTAGATTGTAAATTATACGAGAAAAAGAAGCGATACATGAGTTTTATCTAAACTATTCATAAAATAATAGCAAATAAATGTTACTCACAGATATGGGAAAAAGCCTGGAGAAATAATTGGGGAACTCTTTGGCGACATCTATGACATTCCTCTTCATTGTCAGCTTTATAGTATTTGAATGAAGAGTGGATGGCGTCACACCATACCCGTCTGCAAAATAATTTTACAACATATGTCACAAACAACATTATGTCGTTTCTATCTAAATTGTGTTTCAAATAAAATATTACGGTATTCTTTAAATAACAGCTCGTCATTTATAATGTCTTCAAAATTAAAATGATTAATAAGGGAAAAATAGGAAATGAAATTACTCGACTCGAAATGTATCAAGTCAAAATCTGAAGAACGTCACTTCTTTTCTTAAAAGATAATCTTTAGAAAATAGAAAAGATTAGAAACAAAGAGCTATTTCAAACAGATTTTTAAAACTTCCATATCGTGGACGAAGTGCATTTTAAGCGTTCATGTAGTTAAGATTCTACGAAATGGAAATTTGTACATGTACATTACATCTAAACCATCCTTTCAACTGGATTTTAGAGTGCTGAAAGTTAAGTACTTATGTACATAAGCACGTTTGAGCGCGTTTATGTGAGATAAAATCTTAGTTTTAATTATAGCCACAACAACAAAACCATAAGGAGAAGGCAGTGAGCAGCTTCTATTGGCCAAAAAGACTGGAGCCCCCAGGGCGAAGTCCAAGGGAAGAAGTTTGTCTTTGCCCATTGCCTGCAGATCTTAGCTAAGCATAATGAAGTAAACTTAATATGGCGTATTCCACCTACGCACCAATGGTACACAGGAACATTCCCTGACTCCCTACTGGAAATCAAATATGATCGTGGCTCCCAGACTGCTCTGGCTAGACTAACAAGTGGTCATCTTAAATGTCTTTCCTTTGATAGTGGCAGAGAAATCCACCCCGCTTGTAGAAAATGCTGTGACCATCCAGCTTCACCGGATCACATACTGGGTTGCATCGGACTTTCTAAGGAGGACTTAACACCCAATCCCCTCACTGTTATTGATTTTTTTGATAATCAGCAACCTTCTGGGAGCTGATCTGACATATGTCAGATTTTTCGAGGATAAGCAACAACATAGCCACTGCAGAGTTTCTTTTAATTTTATCATTTTTCTCTTCCTGTTCTAAAAATAGTAACATACCTTTAATATTTACTTCTAATATGCTACTATTACATTCCTACGTCGGTTTTCACGTACCAAATGTTGCTTCCGGAACCTTACGTCACATTCCGGACGCACAAACTTACGTACTGGAGAATATCTTCGTCTGGAGAAAAATCCTAGAAGTCATCAATTGATTTCTAACCTTTTAAGCTAAATCTGTTTGTTCCACATGCTGGCATTTTCTACCGGTGTGCGATCAATTTTGCTTGCTGCTGAAATTGGGTACACATTTAATCATACTATTAAAGTAAATCTTATTCTTTTTCTGCATTTCTTTATGTTTTAATTTAAATAAACACATCAGTTATTTGACTAGCATGTAATCCGAGATTATACCAATATGCGTAACAGGATAGGTATATCGTAAAAATCAAAAGCAACAAAAAATTTGTGTAGATAATATAAATAATGGTAATTTGAAGAAATACAAGAAAAGAACAAATTATAAAAATGAGGAGGGATGGAGCAAGGCTAGAATTCACAAGACAAGAAATTAATTGCTTCTTTTTCATCAGGCCGACGCTAAAAGCAAAACATAGCAAGTGAAAGAAATATGAATTAAAAAGTAAAGTATCAGGGAAAAAAGAAAATCAAATACTTGAAATTATACTAAAATTACAATATATATCTATAACTATATTACAAGTATATAGCCTAGCCCTTAAGTTATTATCCTTAATGATGCAAAAGACATTACATTTGAAGAGCCAGAAATCAAGTTACCTATGAGTTGTTGTAATTTTCTCTTCTCTTCCCTGTTCATGCGAATACAGGCCGAGGAAGAGACATCTTTTACAACTTGACAAAATACCAAATGTAACGCTACAGGATTATCCAGTTTTTCCGATGGAGAGAACACCTAAAAGTAATAAAAATTGATAAATATACACTTCTATCAAAATATTACTTCGAAGACATCAACTCGCAAATAGCCTATTTATGACTTCAAAATTGTTTTTCATACAAGATTTACCCTAAAAAAATAGTGCTTAATGTTCTTTTGAAGAACAATAGGAAGGCTTTATGTTGTTATTATATCTAGATACAGCGCAGTCAGTCTCTATAGATACGCTAGAGCTTTCTTAGTCAAATCAAGAATGCTGATGAATTTCCTCATACAATATTTATTTTATGAGTGTAAAGCATATACTCTTTTTCATGTGTGTTAAAACTGAATTAAACATTCTCTTTCAAAGACAGTTAAAAAAAGGCTCCTTCCGTGGCCCTTTATGAAGGCTATGTCTAAATCTACTGATTGCGTAAAACCATATTTACAGCATAAAGATTCAAAATTATATGTGTCTGAAGAAAGGAATCATTGCAGTTAATTCCAGGTATTGTGAACAGATGTTCTGTCCAGAGTTGAATCATGTGTGGATATTATTTTAAGGTGGAGTGTTATTGATGCTGCACACACAGAAACATTGCAATGCTTTTTAGAATCTATGTTATTTAATAACTTCAATAAAAAATTTCCGAATATATTGCATGTATAAGTTTATCCCACACTCCATTGTTATGCTTTAGAATCTTCTGTATTGAATAACTTTAAATTTGTGCATAATAAGAGAAGAATAAAATAGCAATCAATGAGGTGATATTTATGAATTTATTAATTAAAACCATTTTATGATACAAGAATATAAGTATGCCCTTTTTATAGCTATGATATGAGCTTCTCCATTGTTTTATAAAGTGAACATCTCCTTACTTCTTTTCTAACCCTGAGAGTCCAAGAAACTTTTGTATAGGTAAATGAAGCTGCTGTGCTCGGCGGGAACAGTTTAGTTTTAATACTCTCTAATGTTCTCTGCTCTGGAGTATCCATTACAGTGGGTGGTGCCGTGTCAATAGGTTTCAAAAATTCAGAACTCTCCTCAACTGAAAATATGAAAAGCAAAAATGAGTCATTAAACATTAATTACAGTATAGTATTTTAATAGTATTTGATTATTGTATTATGCAGCGTATAAATTAATTATCAATAATAATCTTGGCGAAATAAATGTAATAAAAATGTTGGATCTGAAGCTGAACAACATAAACGCTTTTTTAAATTATTAGCGGTACATTTTTTTCCAAAATTTAAGAAAAATTGCAAAAATAGCGATAACGTTTTAAAAAAATAAGCCAATCCGTATAAAATTTTAATATGTTATCAAATAAGAATTGTTGAATAAATTTGCAGCATGCAAATTATTGGCGCTGCAATCGAAATAAGTCATCTCAGAGGAACATAAAATTGCATGCTTCAAAGAATGCTTGCAACTTCCGCTGTGATTCGAGTCTGGGATAGCCAATTTGTAACAATGACCTCCAAGCGTCATTTGCCTGAAGAACTGCGATGGAGAGTTACTAGGGGACTAATCGGTCAAAGAACAGACAGAACCAGACAGAAGTGGCCAGATGGCTAAATGTGAGATCTGTAATTCATAGACCTTTGAAGGTAGAAGTTTTGGCAGCAATTTTAAGCACAGATTCGGCATCCAGGAGGTTCAGCCAAAGTTTCGCTTGGTTTAGTTTACGTGATTACAGCACAGCCTTAAGGGCTATCTGTCTAAGGTAAGGGATGCCTCCGTAGAGGACTTTCTAAGGGAAACTGGCTCATATACACCTTACACATGAGGAGAAGAACGAAAACGTCCGTTCAGCCAACCCGTTCGCGCGATTTGAACCTCGGACCGAACTACCAGTGTTTAGCGACTTTACCGCTCGGCCGCTAGTGGGCGGTTCAACCAACCTCTACGACATGCGCCGATGACCGATGTTTGTTGTTACGCGCACGAAGGAATAAACCTTAACTCCGATCCTCCTTTGCTACAACCAAGGAAAGTTAATATAAACGTCAACTGTGCACAGAAAGTCTTCACGAAGAAGGTATGTACGCGAGGTGACCAGCCATTTGCGTTCACGTCACACCATAAAAGGAAACTTTTGAGGTAGGCACGTCAACATGTCTACTGGATAGCTGTTCAATGGAGGACTGTTCTCTTTACAGATGCGTACAGGTTTAGCTTTTAGAGCTATAGTAGACATTATTTGATATGAACCTAGAACCCGTTATTATCCATCAAACATCAGTGAAAGAGATGCATACGGAAAAGGCAGTGCCTGTGTTTGGTGTGGTATCTCTTTGGCTGGACGCACAGACCTCCATGTCATTCCACGTGAAATGATAAATGCTCAGGCCTATAGAAATCACATCCGTGATGCTTATGTGTGCCATTATGCCTGGGCAATAAGTGATAATTTTCTGTTACACGACTATCCCGCTAGACCTTACAGGGCTCGCATTATGTTCAGCAGCAGAACAATTCAGCGCATGGAGTGGCCAGCTCGATCACAGGACCCGAAACCTATCGAGCATGTTTGAGATGCATTAGGAATACGTATAGCTGCTCTCAATCCTCCTCTTCAGATCCTTGCCACTCTTGCAAGAGCAATGGCTCTCGCTTCCTACGGAATTGATAGACTGCATAACTGACAGCATCGCACATCTTTGTATGTGTTGTATTGCTTCTAAGGGAGATCATATTCCATACTGAAGGTAATTTTCCCTTATCAAACTGACACATCCGATTGGTTCATTTTATACATATGCTAATTTCTATAACGCTGTGTGTCGTATACTGTGGGTCAGTTTCCTTAAATTCTACGTGTAACTTTTTGAGTAATCGTCATTTTTGTGATTTTTTCTCAATTAATGATAACCAGCGTTTTGTTGTTAAAACGATAGCACTTTTCTTAACAAATTTATAATGAAATGCTTGAAGTCATGATTTCCTCTAATAAAGATGAGGAAGAAATTTAATTGCAACACTAAACTTCTTCTTCTCAAAAACTAGTTTCAGTATTATTACTTTTATAGACCATAGGATTTAACTCATTAGTAAGAATACTTCAAAAATTCCCACTTAATATATGGCACTACAAAAAATTTGTATTGCATACTTCTGAGTATTTAAAAATTGTTGGTTTGTGATATACGTATCAATATTTACATTTATAAAAATTAAATATGTTCAGACTGGCGTTTCTTTTTTAAAAATGACTCTTCACATTTTAAGAAAAAAAAAATGGATTGGATCTCTCCCCTTAATCCGAGAAGATAAATTCTACGAAAGAAGATATATTCATATTTTCATCTTCAGTAGTATTGAGGAATGTGACATTTTGAAGGAAGTTTCACTCACAACTTTTTTGAACATTTTTAGCAGTAGAAAAGTTGAAAAATGATCGAAAAATAAAAAGCTTAAGGGGAACAGATTTATTAATTTGTATTTTTCTTTGTGAGATTCGTGTTTCTTTAAGCTCGGTGCGTATTGAATCATAACAACAAAGACATTAAAACTTTCAAAGGCTTAAAATCTAGTGCGCGACCTTTAGCAGTGAAATAATAAATTTCATTTGCAGAAGTTAAAATACCTTGGACTTTGAATCTATGGACAGTCTGGGGAAATTCATAATTAACAAGAGGAGAAAATGTGCAAACTGACGTCAAAACTGTTAATATAGAAATGCTTTTCACAAAAACGGCAATTTCATTGACTTATATATAAAAAAAAAACCCCTCAAAATTTCCTTTTTAAAGCAAGTGTTTAAAACTATTTCACAGTGTTCTGCACAAAACTGCCGCGAAGATTAACAAAATTAAGGAAACAGAAGATTTCTCAACCAATTAAAATTTTATTATATTTTTAAAAATAATTATGTATTAAATGATTTGATGATGTGCAGAGCAAGCAATGTGATAAATTGCCGAATATGATCCTTAACTAAGAAATTAAAGCACCATATTGGGCTAGCACCCGTTTCTGGATTTATCAGAGTCTTGATTGGAGCATTCAAATCACAGCTACTTTCAATTCCATCGTGCAGAAAATTAATTTCATTCATTTCTTAATGATAGCTGCTTAGTCGTAGGACTATAGAAGTCTTTATTTCCTTCAAAATATACTCAGATAAGTCTGCTTTTTACTGTTGTTAAAGAAATTTTGGATAATATGATTCCAAACGGAGCCAAGTCGTTCCATGATATTTATAACGATTGATGCAAAACCGGGAAAAAATATGGTGATGAATAGTTAAAAAATGACAATATATAAAATTCAATAACTTGCTTTATTCCCCTCCCCCCAAAAAAACTTAGTTAATGTTATAATTAGGTCAGAGAATTGTTAAATCTGCTGTTTTCAGAGTAATGGCTCATCTGGAAGCGATATAGAAAGCGAAACACGCTTACTATTATTATTATTAGATTATATATCATCATAACTATTACTTTCTAATATGAAACAGATTTTTTGTCGTGTGTTGGATGAGAGAGAATAGCGGGTAATCAGGATTATATTGTATTATTTAAGTAACCTTTAAATATAAGTAACGTTTTAGTTAAGAAAAATTTTAGTTTAAGTTTAGTTAGTTAGAAAAATTTTAGTGAAATTACGTTTATTTAAAAAGTACATAATTCATAAAAATTTCCTTACATTCGATTTTGTCCGAAGACAATCTATCATGTAACACTTTTTGTGGTGATATAGGTGCAGGTGGTTCCCTGTGCTTTGGTGCAACTATAGTGCTTGGAGCATAATAACTAGAGGACGCTGTTATGGACGGGGCATGATGTTGCAATCTGCTACCAAGAGGTCCAACGGGAGCAGGAGGATGACCTCTAGATCCTCCATACATTCGCATATCATCTCTGTACCCTGTCCTAGAGGAACTAGCGAGACTTTCCTCATACATGATGCTTCTAGACGAGTTCTGGCTAGAATGATCAGTGATGAGTGAAGAGTGAGGTCCAAAGTATTTTGAAGATGGGCCTGAGAGATATTCTGCAGCTTGTTGACTACTGCTTCGGGAGGGTAAAACAGCACTCATGGGATGACCAAGCTCTTCCCTCAACTCCCTTATCTCTCTACTCGCTCTTTCCATTCTCTGCACTTGAGATTTGACAAGATTTTCAACAACAAATTGTTGAGGTTCGTCTCTAGTACCTCGTATCCGATAATCTGGAGCAGGTGGTAGATCGGGATCATAAGGCAGTTCCTGGTATCTTTCGGTTCGCGTACGTGGAGAACCATCCATATAATCGCCGCTTCCTCGAAGCTTTTGTTCCAATAACACCTTGCGACTTTCACATAATTTTTTAACGCCTTGTTGATCCTGTTGAGATTCTTCCACCATTGGATATACTTTGGCCCTACAAAATAAAATAAAGTACATAATTATTTAACGAGAATATCGAGAATTTGGATACATGACATATGTTGAAGCTATCCAGCTACAGAAATGAAGTTAATAGCAATGAACACTTAAGAAATTTTTATAAGAAATTGAGACTTCTCTTTATTTAAAAATATTTAACAAGAGTATTAGATCAGACAAAATAAACTTTATTTTACTTGCCAAGTAATAACCAAATATATGAGAAAAGATGTAAAAATCATCTAAAGTCATACATTTGGTCGTGTATGTGTACAAATTCAAAATTTTGATATTTTTCTCTTTTTTACAGTACTACGCATTATGTATACAAAAGCAGTCAGTTGCATAACTACATATAGGAAGGTAGCTGAAATTTTAAAACTACATGTATATAAATGTATGTATTATTGAATCAAACGAAACCAAAAATTAGGAATGAAAACGAAAATTTTATGAATTATGTTAGGTATATATGTACCTGGGTTCTTTCTTGTTAGATGACCTTACGCTGTGGTCCATGGTGAGTTGCTCAAGTTTGGCCTTCATTTCCGAACTGATTCTTAATTTTCCTATGCTTCCAGGCAGTGGTTTCTCATTACCTTCAAACGCTCTGATAATATCTGTGTCTTCTTCTTTTAGTTCTTCTAAACTACGACTCTTTTTAATACGCTCTTGACTGGATTGTTGTTGTAGCTGCTGCTGATGTGTTTGCTGCAGAAAAGGAATTTGTCTTACGTAATTGTGAAGTTTTATTATTCAAATAACAATAACTTAAAAGTAATTTTCTTAGAGAAAGGAAAGAATAAATTAGCAGCAGTGGTTAGATAATTTTTTAAAAAATGTCGTTCAATATATTTTTTCTCCAATGGTGGACTCTAGCCGTTTATAGGCATCGGCCAATATTGAGGCCGGAAGCAGTAGTCTCTTTATTATGAAGGCACCTAATAAGTAGGCCACTGTTGCCTCCTGTGAAGGGACAGACAAATTACATGCATGCCTTCTCCGGGATTCGAGCTCGGGCGTTTGGATACGGCAATCAAAATCACTAAATACTTTCCCGGCTAGGCGGTATGCATTTCAATATAATGAAGGAAACCTTACTTTTTTTCCAGACAAATACTGTATTTACTATATATGGCAGAGATATTTGCATTACCGTTATGATAACTTAAAACACGCTCAAAAAGGAAAATAGATAGAAAACACAGAAACAAAGTTACCTGAGTAACAGGTGTAGAGCTATCTATACCAGAAGATCCAAAGGACAATGTGCTTTCCATGCCTGAAATCTCGGGAAAATCTGCACTCTCTGCTGACTCAGCTCCAGATCGATCTTTCTTTTGCTTGGCTTGTTTGAACTCGAGGAAACTTACCGGCGGAGCCCCATCATCTCGAGGCGGCGGCCAGCGCCACTTGCCGATTCGCACTGTTTTCGCACGACCGTACATATCTTGATATTTTGCTTGACTGTCAGGAGACATTGGCGGTGGGGGTGGAGGTGGTGGTGGAGGTGGAGGAGGAGGTGGTGGTGGCACTCCGATCATTCTTTGCTGCACTTGAGATCGAGGAGCAGATTGAGGGGTAGTTTCACTACCCCCCGCTTTGCTTCGAAGTTCACTCAACACATCACTGAACACCTGAAATGATCAAAAATAATAAGTATTTCTGCAATAACTGCTAAAATAAATTAAAACATGCAAACTTCCATGATCAGTTAATATAAAAGCAGAAATGAGCGTGAAAGGCATAGTTTTGGAGCCATTATTTGAATTATTCTTTAAAAAGCTCCTCTTAAACGTTAAATGCATTTGAGTGACAAAATGAAGCAAAAGAAATCGTGTAAATATTCGCGCAAATGACAAGAGCGTAATGCTTTACAAACAGGGTTGTCCCTTGACATTGTTAGCGACTAGCAGAATCTCTACCATTCCCAAATTCTGCCTTCCGGGAAGCATGCACTGGTTGCTGTTGACCGATTAGCGGCTAACGGCCAGATCTGATGCGATCTTTAAGTCGTGGCTTCGGCCTTACCTACCATACATTATAATATGAAGGTACTGTTTTAAGGAACTTCGCTGACTTAAAGGTATTCTCTCAATCAAAAAAAAAAAAAAAAAGAAAAAAAAAAAAAAAAAAAAAAAGAAGGAAAAAAAAAAAATATGCATTGAAGAAAAAGGTCAGCTTTTGAAAGTGAACGGGACGGAAGTAATAAAATAAATAACATACGTAGCAGAATACCAACATGCACTTTAGATATAAACTTGAAAAGAATTAAAGGAAATACAAAAAGAAATTAGGGTATTCTTACGTAAACATCAAAATTCATACATAGCAAAACAAATCAAGCATGGAACTTGACGGAAATAATCATCGAAGAAATTCGAACTAACGAAGCTTAAAGTTCTGTATGTGGGGAAGTGACATAAAGAGAATTCATTTTATTCGGGTTTCAGGGAAAGAAGGAAACAAAATCTTTTTTTCCAGAGAATCTATGAAAAGTTTAATTAAAAGTTTCAAAGAGAAAATTTAAAAAAAAAGTTATTTTTATAGCGGAAATAAAATTTTTAAAATTTTTATATTTTTTATTATTATCAGTTTTATTAATTATCATTCCTATAACTTCCATATGAATAAAAACGGGGAAACTTTCTGATCATAAGGAATTTAAGATAAATGTCAAGTAAACTGCAAAAATAGCTCATTAAATTTGAACATGGATACATTTTCTCCGAAAATAGAGAAAAATTGTTATTATCTAGGCTGTTTTCTTTATTTTTCTTAATTTTTTTATTCAAAAATTTATCGGTAATTTTAAAATTTATTTTCTTTAGCTGAAGCTAAATAAAGGCTGAATTTAAAATATTTAAAACTGCAAACTCTTTTAAAAATTTTAAAGAACTAGAAAAAAAAAAAAAAAAAAAAAAAAAAAACTCTAATCTAAATCAAGTATTTTCACTTTTAATAATAGCACACAAGACCGACATAGGCAGATTACGATGGAATTTTACTTACTTCGTGCGGCAAATTTGGCTTGGGGAAGACAGTCTTCTGGACTGGTGAAGACGGTCTTTGTCCAGTCTTGACTGGTAAAGAGGGTAAAGTTCCATCTATGCCTCCATCCTTATGTGGAGAAAATATAGATGCCTGTTGGAAAGAGAGGCTGGAAAAGTCTTGAGAACCTAGCGTCGGAGTTGTTTGCAAGAGAGTAGGAGGTAAGCTCGTAGAAGTTATGATTGGTGGCAAAGGGGCCAAGGGTGGAGAGAGAGCTCCACCGAATTGAAGGGATGGAGCTTCAGCAAGCAGAGATGGCCCCACAGCTGCAGGTGATGCGGGACTCATCTAAGATAAGAAAATAATTTCTGTTTCTTAGAAGATATTCGATAATTAAACATGCATACATTTATTATACATACTATATTTGGAAACATAATTAATTATATAATTTAAAATGTTTAATTGTAACATTTTTCTAACATATGTATATATGAGGGGTAAAAATCAATATACAAATATCACTCTTTTTCTAAAGAATCATAACGAAACTTAGGGAATTTATATCGCTTAACTTTTTAAAGCAAAATATAACGAACTGCATCATTTAATTAAATAATTTGTTACACTTCCAATAATTCCTTTTTTAACTTTATATCTCACTGAATTATTAGTTGATTATTTTCGAGTTAAAATGTTTGATCGGAAAGTAACGATAAGACAATCTCTTTATTCTTAGCTATTTAGGTACATTATTTGAAGCAAGATTTATTAATTATTTAAGGTGATTAAATATTCTAAATTTTTAAAATTATTACAAATTGCATATTTTAAAGGCACAAAAGCTATTTTTGAATACTGATTATTATACAGGAAAATATGAAGCATTTGACTGACAGCTTGGAGAATTTTGAACATTAAAAAATGCTCAATTCTATAAAAATGGAATTTAGAGAATGGTTTTAAAATTAAAGCTCCTAATTTCTACATTTCCTTACAAACTTTATTCTGGAAATGGTCTTGCATGTAAAATATGAAACTTGATTGATTAAAATATTGGGGGAAAAGGAAGAAAAATAAAAAATATTGAAAAATGGTGTATCATAGTAGGAAATGCATGCATATTGCTTATAAACATATACATAACACATGCGTAACAGGCTTAAACATCTAAGAAAACAACATTGTATGGTTTAAATTAAAGAATTTTTGTCAACTGCAAAAGTATAAAGAATGCATGGAGGTATTAAGAAAATATTCCATACATAAATAATTATAAAATTTATTAGTGTGGCTGAAGATTCAAATGCAGTTTCAAACTGTGCAACTAATGTGATTACACAGTTAGAATTTTCAAGTTATTTTAAATATTCAACCTACAAAGTTTATGTGAAAAACAAGTATTCGTTCACTGTATACAAAAGAATACTCACCGAGCTATTCTGCAGAAGATGCTGCAGTGCCTGATTTTGTTGCATCAGATGCTGCTGAATTTGAAGATTTTGTTGAACAGCAGATGCCAAGAAAGCTCGCTGCTGCAACTGTAAATAAGATTGAAATATTTCTGTTTAGTCGCTCATTTATCTGGTAGCAAATGAAATGGAAACAGTCTGTGCACCACACAAAATACTTAAATTTAAGCAATGGCAAAATAAGTGCTGTACGTGAGAATGTAGAAAATTTTCAAGATTTAAACTGGGAAGAGATCAATTGTGCCCTCCCTGGAATCGAAACCACGGATCTTCAATATACTAGCTAGAAGTGTTAACCATTTACACCATGAAAGTATGTGTGAAGCAATGCGTTAATTCTCGACAAAAATATTCTTTCTTATCAGCTTCACTAATTTCAGTAGCTGGTTCACAAGCATAGCAAGTCTGATATTTCACAAGCCACATTTAGAGTCCAGATTCAAATGAAAGATCACTAGCTTCATTTGCATGCAAACAAGAAAGTCTATTTCTAAAATATTTTTTAGCTTCACCAGCAATGTTTTTTTTTTTATGTCGTATCGGTTTTGTTTTCTTTCGTTGAACATTTTATTACCCTAGAAGCTGAATACCTATTGAAAAAGGAAACGCCAGTTTTGTTAAAATCGGTAAATAACGGCACGATTTTCGAAAAGGATTTTAAATGTGTTACGGTAAAATATTTAAATCATGCATTTTTTTTACCAATATCGCACTGTCAGGTTTTCTCCAGCGTTCTGTCGTGTTCGTCAGAGTAACTGGCAGCTATTCTAACTGAAGTGTGTATACAAATGATGCCGCACCGACTATTTAACAGAATCACCAGAGAGGTGACAGATGACGGAAAGTGAAACTTCTTGACGGCTGCCAGAAGTTAGCAGGAATTACCACTACTTCCATCAGAAGTATATTGCAAAAATTTTGAACTTCGATTTACAACAAATAGCCAAGTATAAGTTAGATTACTTAAAAAAAAAAGTACGCTTCCCGGCTTCAGTGGTGCAAGTGACATTTTTCTTCTTAGAGTTCTGTTTACAAGTTTCTCACAACTTCAGGTTACCCTCAATAAATGGATACTAGGTACCGTTCCTGGGCAACTGAAAACAGAAAAAAAGCACCTTTTCATAAAACTAGAAGAAATGCTAAAGCGCTTTCTTCGTATAGACCGAGGTTTCTTAAACTGTGGGTCGCGGGACCTGCAGCAGGGGGGCCGTCAAAAATTTATACAGTTTTGATATTTCTTTAACCTATTATAATAATTTTACAATTACCAAATATTTTTACACAATGTATCTGAAAATAGATAAAGGTAAGACAATGCAGACAAAGAAAAAACGAAAACGTTTCGACGCATTCTTTTTATAATATAAACTTTCATTTTTCTTCTTTTGCACGTGACGCTGTCATTTCGTCTGTTACTTATTTAAAATTTTCATATTGTTCTATGTCTTAAAATTAGAAATTAAAGTTAATGACCTAAAACTGCAACAGTATATTACAGTGAAAAAATTGGCAGTTTCACTTACGCGTGTGTCGGATTTTGCACAATACTTATGGGGGTCCCACAAAATTTTTGTAAATATTATGGGGTCCTGGAGATCGTGAAACTCTGGGGGTCCTGGAAACCCTGGTATAGACCATTACCATTCACTAAAAATTTATTGAACATAATTAATCAAAGGAAGTTTACTTTGTGAACCATAAAAATGTTTATGCAAAATTTTTAGTGTGAGTTTAGAGAAGAATTCACCGTAAAATGTTCAATGTAAAATGTATTTTGCCATTAGTCACAATCAAGCAAATGCTAAATAAACTGTTCTAGTTTTATTAGATATACAAAGAGCATTACCTTCGGCGATTCTTGGGTGATAATCATAGACAGAAAGAGAATTAACAAACAATCTAACCATAATGTTCCGCTGAATTCTATCTCGGCCATATAATATGGAACATAGTGGATAATACAGCGTTAGAAAGACTTCACAATGGGAACACTGCCATTTAATCAAAAGCATATACTACGATTTTCATGTAATAGTCGGAGGAAACTCAAGAAACAATTTGGAAAAATCGAATGTTCTGACAGTTATGCAAAAATGATGCGTTAGGCATAGACTACTATTACAGCATATTAAGAAAACAGCTATCATAATTGGAAAAACTAAGAAACTGCTACAAAACACTGTTAAAATTATTAAGTCAGATACTTAAAATTACCACTTCCTTAAAATATCTAGATTACTGATCATACATTTGAGCTACTTAAGTGACACGACGATAATAATTTAAAATAAGCTTCTCAAAATAACATCCAAATCTTGAAGAATTCGATCCGCCTCCATGTATGACTGGTATAACTCAATGATGGCACTTACGTACCTCGCGGCATCAGCTTGCGGTCAGTAGTTTAGATTTCATATGGTTAATAAACTTCTGAGTATACACAGAAGTTCAGCACTGTTAAGAGCAAGAGTATCTAAAACCATTGCAACACAGGTACTTTTGAGCTTAGCATGAATTCCTTTTAAACGTAAAAGACTTTCGAAGAAACTATTGCTTGAAGAGTTTTTCAATTTTGAAAGATAGAAACATTATGCTCGAAACTTATGAGGAAAAAAAACACTCTTAATAATATTTCATCCTACCTCACTAGAAGAAGAAAGTTATATTTCCTAGGAGCTTCCTATACGTTAAGTATAGATGTTTCTACAATGAGTAATGTAACAGGTAGTAGCTTCTGCATCTACTTTCAGTCGTATGTGATAAAATGCTGGTGCATAAAACTTTATTAGATTAGGTTAGGTTATTTAAACATAGCAAAGCAGATGAGGGCTATGTGCTTAAGGAAAGGTGTATTTTCGTGGAAATTCTCTGATTAAGAGAAATATACTCATATTTGCGACACACATAAGAAGAAGGACGAAAACCAACCTTGCAGCCGGTCTATTAGCTTGGATTCTAACTACCAGTATTCAGTTGTCTTAATTACTCTGCCACTGGTAAATCAAAATTTCGTCAAGATAATAATATTTATCAAGCAGAATTATATGCAATCGATTCAACGCACACAATTCAAGACACAATGCTCGCTGATATAACATACATAAATAACAAATCCAGCCTAAAGCTATATGTGCGAACATCTAGAAAAGCTTACTTGTAAAAAGTATAAGAACATAAATTTAAAACAGTGCAGAGCAAATTCACTTAAATGGGCTAAGTCACAAAATTATAAAACCAGGAAATAAACTAGGTGACAAGTTGGCATATCATACACTGTGAAGTACCTTCGCCTTAATTCTTAATCTTGAAACCGAAGAAAAAACTCGCAGCACAAGTGGCAGGGGACCTGAAGTAAAAATTTAAGAGTATTAGAATAACTTGTAACTGTTTTTCCCAAGTGCTACTAATTTTGAAACTGAATACGTTTGCAACTCAATTATTTATTTACCATTGACCAGTGCCCTGTAGCTAAGAAGATTCGGAAAAATTTCAACAGATAAGTTCACAAGTGACAACATCCATTATTTGTATAAATGGCCATTTACAAAGGAATGACAACTAAAACAACTGTCTGGTAAAATGTAGTAAAACATAAAAGAATCTAACACAAATTTATCAAAAGAGTTAATTACGGAATTTATAAAAAATATTGCAGTTAACTTAATAGCAATAACAGCACACTGAAGAGCTCATGACAGTTTTTCATTATGTCCCAAAACAGTCTTTTACGGGTGTACTAATTTTTGTTGAAAATAGTTTTCCTTTTTATGTATTTTACCAAATATTCATTAGATTTCTCTATGTAGTAACTTTTGTTGAAAACAGTTTTCCTTTTTATGTATTTTACCAAGTATTCATTAGATTTCCCTGTGTAGTAATTTTTTTTGAAAATAGTTTTCCTTTTTATGTATTTTACCAAGTATTCATTAGATTTCCCTGTGTAGTAATTTTTTTTAAATAGTTTTCTTTTTTTATGTATTTTATTAAGTATTCATCAGATTTCCCTGCCTAGTAAATTTTGTTGAAAATAGTTTTCCTTTCTATGTATTTTACCAAGTATTCATTAGATTTCCTATCTTATTTTGGTTCTTTTAAAGACATTATTTTATTATTTATTCATGTAAATATTACAGTACATTTTGTTTTCTCAGCAGTTAAATATAATCATGCATTGTAATAATGAATTCTTTCAAACCTGAAATATCATAACTTATATAGAACCTGTAGTTGTAGTAGTGCGGCGTTGTGTTGTTCTCTATTTGTAAACTTAGTTGTAACAGCCCGGATTATTAGACTGCATCTATTAGCTGTATATTTTATACTGAAACTGTATATAGGAATTGATATTGTAGTTATTCTGCCTTTCAGCACCTGTAGCCGTGATTTGTTGCAACAAATGGCATTCATTATGTTAAATGCTATTGCAAATTGCATATGTATCATCAAAGTATCAATTTCATGAGTTTTTGTCATCATTTGGCTCTACATACCGTTGAGTAGATTATGCAAGAACAAAGCTGGTTAGTGTATCAGCTATCTGTTTTCTGAAGGGCATTATAAAATTGTATTTGAGTTTATAATATGTTAATTTTGGTGGAAAAGCATAATTAACATAAAAACGATGGTGGAAAAAGCGTCATGTCATAAAAACGATGGTGGAAAAAGCATTTTTTATGGTGATTCTAAAACTGTAGTGCTAAATGATAATTCCAAGAAAGCCACTGTAAAAGTTTAACAGACCTAAAATGCCAAAAATATCAAAATAACTCTCTGGCAGGACTATCTGGTTTCTGAAATATACAACACATTCTCGCTGCTTCCGAATACAGAACTGTATGACCAGAGGAGTAGCTTACACTTAAAAAGAATCGGTAATCAGCTACAATATCAAGGGTGAGCGTACAGCACTCTTTCAAAAACGGTCTGTATATAAATATTTCCCATTAACAGAAATATGGCAATATACACAACTGTAAAAAGAAATTCCCGGATTAACTCAGTAGCTCACCAACAGATGCGTAGATCCACCAATAATTCTCTTATATCTTCCTTATATCTAATATAATATATCATCTCTTATTTATATCTATTCTTAAACGACTTCCTGAAGTTAAATGGTGCTGTAACAGAGAAACTTTAAATATAACTTCCAAAATGTATATTATTTTCAACTAGTCCTGAATTTTTGTAACGAAGTGTTGCTTTCTGCTTCTGATCGGGTGATTCTGATAGGGCCTCAAAACTCTTCGAAACAAAGTTTTACGAATCAGTTCTAGAGGAGTCAAGAACACGCCTATTTTAGCGATGCAGCTACTGATAAAAAAATAACCTTTGAATAATGTGATTAAAAAAGATGCTACTATTCTTTAAAACAGGTTAATTAGACTCCCTAGCAACTCCTTTGACTAGACTACAATCACAATCAAGAATGTAACCTGAAAATTCAAAGGTGTTTTGTCCCATGTGGGCATGATATTGACCCTTTCCATTTAATTAACAATACACCTACTGAATTACTCTCTCTTGTTAACCCCTCGGACTACATAGACTTTGATGGACCTAAATCAGAAAATGGAACAGTCAGACTGCTGTCCTGAAGCACTACGTGCAATTGCTCTGGAAACTAGCCATGATCGCTATCCTAAATAACTTCACATCTGTACAGATGGTTCCGTTCCGGACTTTACTCAAGGAACTGGGGCTGGTAGTTTTTGGGAACGTTTTTAATTTTATCTGCCAGTTGAAAATTTTACGACTCAATTTGATGGTGAGCAGGGATCAATCTATGTAACTCTTCAGCAACTTTCTATTCGTCAGAATTCCTTTCAGAGGACTGTGATCCTCTCTAATTCAACGTCTGCTCTTCAGCTGCAATATTCAACATCTGCTTTATCATCTAATCAGGAGAATAAAAGCCCTCGCGTACAGCAGGATAGATTTCTGTTTGAGAGAATTCAACAAATGGTCTTTCCAGTGACAACCTCCCACTATGGTGTTGAGGGAAATCAGAAAGTCGACTTTTTTGCGGAAAGAGATTGAAGTTTAATTCAGAAAACAACAAAAATTTTTCCTTTCATTCTTCAAACCTGGAGATTAAAAGAATCTTCCGTCGGTCCTTTCATACAGTGTCTGCTCACTTTTCCTGTACTAAATCCTGGAGTGTACTCAACACTAATTTTCATCTTGTTCCGGATGCTCTTTATGTAGCTGCGGTGACCATTTTTAGACTGCTGATTGTATCAGTGTCTATTTGTTTCATTTTGGTATTGTCGAATCTTCTGTGTGTATTTTGTGTTCAAATGGATATGACGGCTGCTCACGTGCACAAATTTCGGCATTTATCTCATTTTATTTTATTATCATCTTGTGGTAAAATATTGAAGAGCATGCAGCCTAATGATCTAGTTGCCAAAAGGTTGGCATTTGATAAATTTAAAACAACTATTGTGTCTTTTAGAAAATAGAATATAGGAATATTCATAGGATGGTCCACACGATCACAAACCAAGCCGAGTTGCCTATTCTTTTTTATGTTTCCACATGCAAATTCCTTCTGTGACAGAAGACAAAATGAAAAATGATTCATCAGATGAAATAACAGATTTCCAGTTATCTAAACTCTAATGTTCACTGAACCTTGCTCGTAGTTGTTACTAATATCAGTAATGAATGGATTGTGTGTTGCAACAGGTAAAAATTTTAAATTGGTTGCTTTAATTGAAACAGAATTTTTCAGAACAGAGTTTAACTTCGTTATTGTTCGCTTTGATGGATTTTTAGATTATGGGGACAGAAATTGTGTTATTGTTCAATGAGTCTCGTCTCTCATATTGCCTTAAAGTTTTCGGTTTAGAAACGCTTGCTTTTGCAATAGCCAGCTTAATTCTGGAATAGTTTTCTTTTTGAGATATTCGCAATTTCATTCTGTATAGATGCATTTAAAAAAACCTGGAGTAATAATAATACTTTTTTGAACGTTCATTATAGCTTCCCAGCATATGATTGCACCAATATTTCTATTATATCAAAAATTTCTATATGTTCTTTTTGGAGGTTTTCAGAAAAAAATTCTGATATTTTTCCTTTGATTATTAAACAGGGTATTAAAAAAAAAGTGAATATAAAGTTTATTTTCTTGAATAGTGATTCCAAACGTGTACTGCCAAATACAAGTTAAAATAAAATTAAGATTTTGCGAAAAATAATCACTACTAAGACGGTACTTTGAACTCTGCAACCACACCCACACACCCCACACCCACCCACACCACACCCACACCCACACACCCCCACACCCCACCCACCACCCACACCCACACACACACATATATATACACAAATATGTTCAGATATATGTACACATATATGTTCTCGCACAGCAAAATGTTCCATGTATTGGTGCAAAAATCGCCGAAGAGCAGTGTGAAAAATGATAACTAGTAAAAAGAATTCGTGCAGAGAGCTTAAATTTTCAGGACTACAGTTTCGAAGTTAAAATGAAACCTCCTTTTCAGCTGCAAGAGTAAAAATGTCTCATACTGCTGAAGAAGGGGGTAGTATTTAACCCTCGAAAATATAATCTTGCAAATTTACGTATATTAATTGTTTTACGCTAGATGTAAAATCATTTATATTACCTTGGAAAAGAAAAATAACAGTTTTAAACCTCACAATAACTTAAATTGATTTGGTTTATTTAATTATGAAAAAGGACTCGAAGACTATCTGCCTAAGGAGAGGGATGGCTTAGTGGAGAACTTTCTAAGGGAAACTGGCTTGTACGCAATGCATGCATTTCGAAAACCACAAAACGCCCATGCAGCCAGCCCATTCACCGGGATTCGAAACTACCTGTATACAGCGGCTTCACTGCTCGGCCGCTCGTGAGCCTACGGTAACAAATAAAAAACCATGTTGCTAACCGTATTTAGGTGGTGATTTATCAGTCCGATTAAAATTTTTGCAGTATTATTAAAATCACATTCTAGTAATCACAGATTCGTAGAATTCGAAACCGTGCTATTGTTTTGAAGGATAAAATCAGAAAGATGACAAACAGAACCCGGAATTAGTGAACGGTATTCTTGGTTAAAATCTTGAAGTAGTATGATTTACACAACATTTACTTCATAAGTGCATAAAATCCTCCTTTTTCATGAAGAATTTTTCTTTCCAAGAACACGCATGATTCTCGAAATGTCTGCGCATCAGAAGCAAACTTGCATAATAGATAACTTACTGAGAGTTGGAATAACACATAATAGTGTGGCTTTTAAATTCCTGTTTCGAATAATTTTTAATCTTACGATAGAGAACAGCAGTTCTACACAATAGTCGCGTATTGATGAAAAGAAGCTATTATTTCAAAATAATACAATGGGTTCCTTTAAAAGATTTCCTCGAAGGATTTTGTAACTTCCAGATGCTACTATTTACTTTAGAACTATACTGTTATATGATTCTAATTTAGCTATGCATTCAAAACACCATAAACTCTTAATTATTCATCTTTTTTTAACTCACAAGAATCCAATAATAAGCGGAAAAAACCATAATAAAGAAATAAGCCTTATAGTAAGCAAGCGATAAGCAACGGAGGACGTGGGCACAAAACGAAACTCTACTACGGCTTTAGGGATACTTCTAAAAATAGAGTTTAATTCAAAAAATAAATAAAGCTTAGATTTTTTAGGCCTTCTTCTGGAAAAAGTTTAATGTTCTTTATTTTAGGAGTATATTGACATTCCTTCGATTTTATAAATAAAGTTATATAATTAAACTCGAATATTGTGCGACTTAAAGTTACCAACATGACTCATTCTTTCCCTTTGATATTCAGCTTTACTTTCTCCTTTCTGCATTTCTATTAGCTGCACTTCAAATCCCTTAATCAGAGAAATCTGATATGGTTTTTTTGATTTTGACTTTGTGCATTTCTCACGCTCGTTTTCTTCTTTAAAGTGTTATGAAATGATCTCAACGTAATACGATATTGCCATCTATTCATGGCAAAATCCTCCCTCTTTTTATTCTCAGGCATGAATACTGTTAAGCTTCTAACTTCACGTCTATCACTCTTTTTTAAATCATTATATTGAATCTTTCTACTGTCTTCCAAAACTCCAAGTTTTAATCTTCTATAAAAGCTAAAAGACTTTTCAGAGGATTTATTCAGTTGAAACAAGGTAATCTAAAAAATAATAATTCTCATCCAGTTAATGGTGAATTCAATGTGTATAAAAAAGTTATGCTAACATTTAAGGAGCAAATTTCTCTGTTCAAGTTCAGACAACTTTCAGAAACAAGGTATTCTTGTTAAAATTCATAATAAAACTAATACAGTAATTTAATAAATGGCTCATAATTCAACTAAATTAAATATAGAGTCATTGTAGTCTCAAAATTAATTATAACTTAATTATTATATATGCTGATAATGTGAGAATGTACAGCATATGTATTATCAAAAGAAAGACAGAATTTTGTGTTAGAATTTTATTATTAGAGTGTAATAGTATTTTAAAAGCAAGAAATCCCAAATAAAGAGTAAAAGACAAATGGAAAATTTTTATTTAATTTTCATGCATTAAATACAAAGCAATAGATTAATGATCGCAACCCATAAAAAAAGCTACAAATGCAATCACCCATGCAAATGATTAGTGAAGAGTTATTCATGCAGACATCATAGTTTAAATATGTAAGGAACTTGTACCAGATAAAAGAATGGTTATTAGTGAAAGAAGTTTAAAGGTCAGCTCGGATGCCTGATCTGCTTGAGATAATTTACCTGGATCATCTGTTGTTGAAGTAACTGTTGCTGAATGAGTTGAGAAGCATCAACCATTGGCACTGTCATACCTATGAAATCATTATAGAAATTCAATTTCCTGCATTAACATTTGAAGTAATAACTAAATATTGAAAACATCTTAGAAGGTTAGTATAATGCAGGACTGCAATCCTTTCTGATTTGCAAGCGCCTTTATTGCATTTAATCTTTAACGTATTATTAAAGATTGAGTGTAGTGAGTGATCTAAGCGAATAAAGCATAGGAGATACACAACTTCAGTTTGGACATTTTCTTCATTTTATATAACAACGTTATATTTATACATGCATTTTTTTTTCACAACACAAGTTATTAAAAGTAATGTTTCGTTCTGAACAAACACATATTAAGCAATCAAGTGTTTATAACTATTATGATGAATTATGAGAGAAATTTATAACTTTTCTGTGTGGTATATGCAAGACCAGATTAAGACTTCCAAAGCACTCTGAGGCTTTTGGTGCCCTCACATACATTTTTGCCAGTTTTTCTTCATTTTTTCTCTCGAAGTCTGAGTTTAACTGCACCATATATTCCATACTGGCAATGAGAAATTTTTATGGTGCTCCTTTCCTTAAATTTCAAGAACTTTCCTGTTGTGCCATCCTTTCTTTTGTGCCCTAAGCATGTATTTATTTTGATTAATGGTTAATCTGGCCCTGTGTATATGAAGAAATAAATTTGCAGTATGTTTCCTTTTAATTCCAAAAATGCATAAAACAGTTTTTTAATATAACTAAATGTTGAGATATTAAAGTTAATAGATTCTAATCTGATATTTATCATCATACTATACTAATTCAGGAGTGACTATTTTACTAAGAAAATTTGTAGCCCATTTGCTGGGTAAAGGAAAGATCTAAAATATTGAATTTTTATTGAAAACAGAGTTAAAATTTTTTAATCATACACTGACTTCATCGTTTTCATAGTCATAATATAATTTTATGCATATTAGTTTAAATTTTAAAAGTATGAAAGTTTTCAAAAATTTAAATTGCTTTTAGGGCATTTTGCAAAAACTCATAATCATTTTAATTGTATGAAAAAAAAAAAAAAAAAAAAAAAGGAATTCATTTGCATTTATGTTATGTGGAAATGAAGTTTTGTAATCAAGATGTTAAGTATTCAGATCATGGAGGGAGTATTATTGAAATTTTTCAGTTAGTCCAATTTAAACAACGAGATTTGCTGAATACAAGGTTAACATAAATGATTCATTCATTTTGAAAAGGCTATATTTTCAAAAGTATTTCACGTACACACATGAAAGATAAAGAGCCACAAACTAACCAAGTTTGTACATACTGTACAAATATTCAGTATGTGACCCGCTGGTGACACAACACACGTCCTGACGATAATCGAGCTCATTCCACACATTTTGTAACATTGTTATCCAGATGTTCGTCCTGTCAACTCAGCAGATGTTCGAAATACCACAAAAAGCTGTGTGGAAGATTTTGCGTCAATGGTTGTATTTCAAACCGTAACCATATGTAGCTCCTGTAACATTTGAAGCCTGTTATCTAGATTTTTCCGTCAGCATACAGGAAGCATTCGAGGATGAAGCTGAAAATACAGGAAACGCCACCAAGCTGATATTCAGCGATGAAGCAACGTTCCACTTATTCGAGAAACTATAGTGAAATAGTAAAAAAAAAACCTGCTGAGTTTTTGGTTCTTTTCGTATATTTTTCATGTGTGTAAGCGTAGTACTTTTGAAAATATAGCCCTTTTAAAATGAATGAATTATCTATGCTAACCCTTTAGATTCTGTTACAATATCGCACACAATGGAAGAAATTATTCACATGTCTTTCTTGACAAATCCACTGAAATTAGTGTAACTAAAATTAGTGTACAATTACTAAAATTAGTGTAGAACAAAATGAGTTTACACTAAAATTTAGTGTCCAGTTACTAAAATTAGTGTACAATAAAATGAGTTTACACTAAAATTTAGTGTCCAGTTACTAAAATTAGTGTACAAGTACACAATGGAAGAAACTATTCATATATTTTCTTGACAAATCCACTAAAATTAATTAAAATCTAATGGATGAATATATTATATGTAATATTTTCTCAACATGCTTTCATCTATGCCTATAGTGTTAAAAAAATGTTTTATTGATGAATAGTTTAAACACAATGATCAAGCTGTTGTGTAGATACAGCTTTAGAATATTTTTTAAATTGCATTCACATTGGAATTATAATCTTCATAACATTTAAAGTTTTAACTTTGAAATTAAGAATTTGAATTTAAGAATTATTAAGTATGAAGATTTAATTAATTTAAGAAGAATTCCTTATTCTGAATTTAAGTTCATGCAAACTTGTCAGCATCAAATTACAAGATTTATTACATGAAATTTCATAATTAATATGACTTGAATTACTCATCTAAGTTTGGTAATTTGTAATTTATTCACTAAACTGATAGAAGCAAAAAAACATAACTTTTAAAATAAGTAGATTTCGCCTTTAAATAAAATTGATTATGCATTTCAAAAAAGTATAATTTCGGTCTGTTTTCTTAGGAATCAAATGATCTCCTAAGTGAGCGCTACATAATAATCTCTGAAAGATCTTTTCAAAATCAAAATTAAAGCAAATGTAAGATAAAATTTTCTCAATTTTAAAGTTACCGAAGTGAAATTCTGCTAACAATTTTACCAGTGTTAATTTCAACTAAAGAGGTATTTCACTGAATTTGCTACACTATTCACTTAATAGCGTAGTAAAAAAATTTAGGATTTTAAGTTTTAGATTCATTTGCACAATAACACTCTGTGAAAACAGGAGATTTAATGAATGGGTCATGGAAAACAGCATTGGAAAGTAAATTTAAAATGTATTCTTTTCAACTATAATTATGTTATTTTGCTATATTACATATTCTGACCTTTGTTATTTTTTAAAGTAATATGAATTCTGCTGTCAGTACCATAACTTTGCTAGAATTTAGATGCCCATTACAGAACTGGTGCTAGGTTCTTTGCCATCTGGGGCAGCCTTTATGGCTCTTAAATTTAGCCTTCCAGTGCATCCCTGAATTAAAAAAAAATTGCCATCCCTACATTCTGCAGCCCAGTGCAATCACACTGTCTTTGGTGCTGTCCCTATAATATATGAAATGTTCGACTTTTGAAATCAACATTTCCTATGAATCACCACGAATTTAATTTAAAAATTCCTTTCTCTATGCTATGAATTACAGATCATATTCCACTGATCTCGAGACGCTTCAAATTGTTAAGGGATTGTTATTACATTCTTGGAAATCATCCCTTCAGTCTCTGTACAGTAGCACTCTAACTATCTGGAATTCGGATATTCGAAAATTTGAATTATTTGGATCCCTTGTTTTTTTTCTTTGTAGATCATGGAAATTTAAGTTTCTAATTAATTTATTATAGAGTTTTATTTTTTCTTCTGATTTAAATAACATAAACGGCTCTGGCTCTTAGAACACAATTCTACAATAAAACAGAGAACATTGTAAACTTCTCAATTAAATTTCCATACTTATTACAAGACAGATGTGTAATCATTTTTATATTGCAAATTTTATAACTGTTGTTTCAATAAAGACGTTTTAATTAAGCTTTAGTCGAACAGAATTTTCTTCAAGAAAATTTCTGAAAAATATTACTTAATTTTAATACAACAAAAAAGTGTAATTAGTTTTTTTTGGTGCCTATGTAAATAAAATTTCATTTCAGTATTTTATTTTAGTTGAAACAAAAAAGGTGTTATGCATTTAGGTAAATAATTTTGTTGCTTAGTTTTCTAAGAAAAATGTGTTATAGATCGTGCTATGTGTAGATAAAAATTGTAATATTTTCTTAACAGCATGACAATCGATTAAATTCTCGAACTTATAATAGACATGACATTATAATAGATAAGTACTTGACTTACAGAAAGGAAAAAAAAAATCAACGGAATTATCTAAATGTTTTGAGTATCCAGAGGCTGTTATATAATCCAGATGTTTAAAATTATAGTAAATTTTAGAATATATCAAAAATAAGCTATTTTTTGCTGTATAATTTGCAGTCTATTTGACATTCTTCAATGTTTGAAAGAGCTACGCAAATATAAATTCTAAACCAGATTCATAATGCCTTTACAAGGTTGATTTAGAGTTACACGAAAAGATTACAGAATATTTACCGGAGAGATTGTAAAGTGGTAAGTTGTTTGCTCCGGTCGTGGAAGATGCTGAAGAATTTCCCGCGTTTACTCCACCCGCTGACAATGCTGGAGAGGGTGTCGACAAATTCGATGTCATGTTTTGAGAATGCAAACCACCAGAAGAGGATCGTTGCTAAAATTGAAGAATTAGCATTCAGTATAATAGAAAACACATTAATTTACATTTTTAGACACATTAAATTAGTGATATCTCAGTCAAAAGTGACATGATATCAGAGGTATTAAGGAAGTTTTTCAAAATATGATGGATACTTCAGTTTGGTCATTTACCTGTGTGTCAACTCCACCTCCCACTGCTTTTCCACCACCTTTCAATGCTTTTGCGAGACTTTCAGCATTTCCAAGATCGCTAAATTCTTCTTTCATTGGCTCTGCAAGTAAATCATCAAGAATTTCGTAGGGGTCTATAGCTGACACATTTTTGGAAAACCTGGCAGATTCTGAAATGCCACTTCCTTTGATGGATGCAGCAAGAGACCTAAATTGATAAATTTCTTATCAAAATGTGAGCATTTAAAAGACATAATTGATATTTAACAAATTTCAGTACTATCTCTGTCTATTAAAAATGACTAAATTCACAGAAATCCTTTTTCTATTTTCACAAATCATACTAAAATAAGACTGAGAAAAGGCTTAAAAATTCTGCATTCGTGCTAACATTTTTTATCCAAACTAGCACTCGATGATGATTTATAGGTAATTATACGAATTTTAAGACGCTTCCGGATGAATAGAAACGAATATGAAGAACTTAGAACTAGAAGCACATATTATTAAAAAGATTTTATTCAGACTATTGCTAACTATATATCTAAATAAATTTAGCACTATAAAAATACACCTCTGCAATTAAACAAAGGGCACTGTAAACTTTTTAATTAAACTCATACACTCATTACACAGCAAAAGTACAATCATTTTTACACGTAAATTTTATCAGGCGTCAGTTAATTATCAATAGTGCGAGTACTAAATTTTGCCTTTGCACTTATCTTCTGCTTTTTCAAATATTTATTGCTTCTTCTTTTTCCAAATTAATGTGAACTTAAAGGAACAAACTATCATGAAAACTTGACAAATGACTCCGATAACAAATACACATTATTAATTATTATCTAGTTGTCAAAAACAATTACAACAGCCCAGAAGCGTAGCTATGGTTTCCAGCGCCAGAGCCCAACTGAAGATTTTGCGCCCCTTTTCTGTGTGCCAAGAATAGAAAACATTGCATTCTAAAATTTTGGGACATCAATTTGGCGCCCTCTGGATGCTGCGTCCGGAGACAGATAATTCCCCTTGCCCTACCCTAGCTACGCCACTACAACAGCCTTTGCATGGAGGAGATTTCGGATGACATCAAAATGTAATGCAGGAAAAAAAATCGAAAAGTGCAAAATAATCCACAACTTTAACCACTTGCCCTGGAATGAATGCATCTCTTTAAACATCATGCCATTTGGGTGACTGCAACTGAACTTGCTTTTTATACTTACCAGTAAAGAATATTTAAAAGGAAAAAATCGTAGAGTAAGTTAAGGGGTGTTGGAACTCAAAAATCTTCAAAAAATTGTGATTTCGCATTTTTACATTTTCAAATTCTCTACACTTTTTTCTTTCTAAAAATACCATTCTTTAATCTCTATGAAAATTAGAACTGTAAAAAATCTAGTTTTAATTTGTCATCGAATACTTTGATCAATGAGGATTTTTACATAAAAAAAAGAGTTTTTCTCCAAAACGCTTTTTTTTTTTTTTTTTTTTTTTTTTAATACTCGATGTACCTTTTCTCGCAAACTACAGGTATCTACAGTTTTTATGGCTTATTTATTAGGATTCCTAATGTTTACTGAAATGTGCTTTTTGTGATAAACTAAGAAAAAAATTTTTTCTTATTTTTTTGTGTGAGAAAAGTGCTAAATTTTACTATGCCTAACAAAATATTCTGCAAATTACTCTAAACTCAAAATGTTTCAAAAGCTTATTTCAGTATAAACAGATAGGTGTACTTTAATTACACAAAAAATTTCAAGCGTGTATCTACAGCAGATTTTGAGAAAAGGTACATCGAAAATGACCAATTTAACATTGTTGGTATAGGGGTTGCTGATATCCTTTAAGAAACAATCTACTATCTAAATAAAAGGTTTGAAACCAATATAACCAATTCAATCCATCAAAATAAATATACTTTGGTGTAAAATTTTTAACTCGACTGACATGTTAAATTTAAAATATACACGAATTAAAATGAACTAAAAAATTTCCAATGCTACTGCAATAAAATATATTGTCATGTTAATAAGACCAATAGTACAGTTTTTTTTTTTTCCCCGGGAGATGTCGGTCATGTCTACAAAGATGTCGATAACTGGTTCTGAGCTCTTAAAGCAAAATTTTGCGAATATTCTCATTTCAAGTTCTTGTTCAAGTTGCAATTATAGCGCTTAGGCATATGTATTTGTGAAACTAATGTCCGCTAAAATCATACAACTTCTATTTGCTCTCTCAGCTCGGCTGAATAATGTCAAATTTCGATCAGTAATAGGCATCAAAAAATTATCTAAATTAATAAATATTTTGTGGAATATCTTCACAAATTTTATACTTAAAATTTTTCTCTTACGAAGCGAATTTTCATATCTAGCTTATTGAAGCATAATTAACACTTTACTAATGAGATATTTCGGTCCAAATGAATCATATCAGTTTTTTATATATAGGTTTTATATTTACAGAATCCTCCCATACCTAGAGCTAAAACTGTTCTCTTGCATCATGCACTTTTATTTTTTTGGAGAAGCTTTGGAACTGAAAATACATGCTTAGATTAATTTCTAGAGAAATAAAGTATTTACACGTAATTTTCTTATCAAATACTCTGTTCAAAAGAAGTGAAGAATGTATCCTCAATTCTTTGATATCAATGGAACTGGGACATTTTTTAAACTCATCAAATATTCATTTTTTTGTAATTCGAATACTGATGAACAATCCTTGATTATAATATACTTCACGCAGATTTTAAATTGAAACAACATAAATTATTTTGAAACAGTTCATGCAAGAATTCTTGGCCCCTCCTATTATTTATTTATTATTATTTTATTTATTATATTATTATTACGTAGTATACTAATTATGATTATTTATTAATTTATTATTACTTATCATTAATTATTATTATTATTATTGTATTATGTTACTATTTATCCTTTATTTAAAATTATTTATTGATTCTTGGTTGTTTTCAAATGTTACTATTTCAAATGTTGGCTGTTTTCGAATATTTTCAAATTTTCATTCATTTAAAACCGTTTCTACCTGGGTATAAATTCTTTTAATTGAAGTAAAGATTTTGACACAACTAAATTCATAGTAATTTCTTTATTTTATACCTTTTAAGCTTAAGGGAAGTTTCAAAGATATGGTACACTTTCATAAGCAAGCAAATAACATAATTAAGTACATTAAAATATTTTCAATAATCCTTGAACGGAACTGCATTAAGAAACTACTATACATTAAAATTAATTTATCAGATTTGCTATTCAGTTTAGGAAGTTTCGTAGATAAAGCTTTGATTCAATCTTAGTAGCGACCTTATTTTACCGTTTTTTTTTAAATCTTCATTTCCCCCCTCTTGGGCTATTACTATACATCTTTAATATCTTATGTTTCAAAGTTTTATAAGAAGCACCTGTTTAGTAGGAGCTCCTGGAAATGGGAATTACTTCCTGGATTTGTCCATTTACTACGTACTTATAGCATATAAAAATCATTCCCTGCAATTCTAGATATGTTTGTAACATAGAAATTGCTGCTATTTGATATCACTCCTGAACTACGTTAAAAAAAAGCAGCAAATTAAAATCTACGATCATTTTTTAAACTTACAGGATTTATCAGCATTAAAAGCAGTAGAACTAAAAGCAAAAGAGGGCGATTTTCAATTAAAAACAGGCTCAAAGAAATGAAATGGCTTGAATATAAGTGTAAAGCATATTTCACTCAAATAGTATGCAATTTAAATACCTGGCGTCGCTCAGCTCATCCAGGTTACCATCTAAAACAGGGTTGAATAAGTCATCTAAATATTGGTCTAAATCTGACGTATGAGAAGGAATACGGACATTTTTCACATGGGATGCTAATGAGGGTGCTTCTGAAGTATCGGACATGGCGGAACTCTTAGGGCCTCCGACACTGCTATAATCATCACGGTTGCGGTCGATATGGGCCTTTGTAGAATGTGAATGAACTTTACCCGTTTGCTGTTTACCACCATACTTCACATAACGTGTGGACTCTGTGGTACGACTACATCGGGAGCCATCAGGATCTGGCAGGAAATCATCTGGTTCAGCATCTTCGTCTTCGTCTCCGTTCATTTCCGGGAAATCGAATTCTGGAAACTCGATAGCATCGTTCGAAGCCTGAAAGAAATAATATTAGTATGCTCATGACAATGTTCTAGATCTCAATCAGCATCTGATTTTCAATTTTGATACTTCTTTTTCAAGAAGAGAAATTTTAAATAAATGCATCATTATTATGAATATGCTCAGGGATTCAAACTTCAGAAAATATTTAAACATTTCTGTATTTAACTTAGTTTCTAACTTACAATTTCATATGCAAACAAATTATTTGAATTTTATTCAGAAAAAAAAAAAAAAAAAAACTAATTTCATTTTAATTTTTTGGAGCGGAATACTGTCTCACAAAATGTGATAATTTGAGTAGAATATTCATATTATGCCACTGTATTGCTATCCACGGGACACTTTAGACCTGTGGATCATAAATACTTCTAATTATAAATGTTCCGGTTTGTAATCACAAATAAAGGTAATACGACTTGTTGCATTAAAATTCGATTACACGGTTTTCTGCTCTAATGCTGAATATTAATTTGTTTGATAGAGACAAACAAAATATTAATGAAGCAGGGACAATAAAAATTTTGATAAATATCACCAGAGTAAGTAATCTATTTTAAGCATTTCGAAGATCATTAAACACTCTACTATGCAGTTTCTAATTATTTCATATTGAATTAATTACATAGCAAGAAAATATATACTACTGGCCACTAAACTTCAACACGATGAAGGAAAGCAAACACACACAAAAAATATTTTTTGTACGTAAACAGTACGGCATGAAGACAAAATGATTAAATTTGTAAGCGCAGAGTAGAACTGGGCTTGGATGATGAAACGAGTAATTCATTCCATGCTGCTTCAAGTTTATGCCACACTCATCAATCGCATCAGCAAGCCACGCCCGGTTATTTTCAATGGTGCCGTGTAGACTAGAGCAGCAGTCGAATACCCTGTGTATCGAGGTTGGTTAGAACACGACCTGGCAGTGTGTGGTCTTGTGTTATCTTATTGAAAAATGGCGTTTGGCAGGCCTTGAAGATAAGGCACGGCCATTCGACGTAAGATGTCAGAAATCTGCATTCAAATTACCGTCGATCCGAGCTAAAGATGTGCATGTAGTGAACCCAATGGCTGCTCAAACCATCACATCAGGTGCAGGGCCCCTATGTTGATATCGAATGCAAAGAGGCGACGTGCGGTCTCTTCGGAGCCTCCAGACACGTATACGGCCATCAGAATACTGCACGCGAACCGGGGCTTGTCTGAAAAGACGACATTGTGCCATTCCTGTATCCAGCTTCGTCATTCCGTGTACCACGTCGCCGTTTCTCTCTGTGCTGCAATGTCAAAGAAAACCGAAGTAATGGTCACCGTGCTGACACTCCACGCTGCTACAAGCGTCGGCGTACCGTATGAGCGGATGCTGGGCGTGCTGCAGACATGCCCATTTTCTGACTAATGATACGTAGTGCGGTTGTACGGTTTTGCAGGGTTGACTTCACAATATGACTGTCCTTTCGGGTATTTGTCATGGGAGGGCACCGAAATCCTGCATGCCATTCGGTATGACCATCAGGCCCTCAGGAACCCATTGATTTCACATTCGCATGACAATGGTTGGATGTTGACAAACGCGACAAGCCGTACTGCTGTTATCACTGATCCACACTCTCGGTAGACAACGATCCTGACTCTATCGAATTAATACATTTGCTGGTAAGCATTTCTTCTTCTTACTCGAGGCATAACACGATATTCTGAGCAAACTTCTACCTTACAATACGCTTCCCGAATGAGAAATCCACTACACAACTTTTCTTTTACGCAGCACTTCAGATATCGTTTCTCCCTCCTGCGTCGTTGACACGCGCTGAAACACTAATCATTTGCATATCCAAACCTCTTCTTCCTTTCATGTGATTTTGACCTTCGTCCGATCATTCCTTCCTGGTGTTGCAATTTTAATGGTCAGCAGTGTATGTTAGTTAAATCTAAGAAAATAATGAAACCCGCGACGTCAATGTAAGCCCTACCCCTAAAACAAGCCTTAGTTATGGTCGTTAACCAAACACGGGTATCTTATTGCCGAATGACCAAGTGCAGACGCTATATGCATGGTACATTTGAAATAAACTTGATTGAGAAAAATTAGAATTTTCAGTATACAATATGTCGCTTTAGCTAGGGATGTTCAGCATTTGATTCAAGAATTCATTTAAAAAAAAAATAAATCTTGAGGCTCAGATAAAATGAGTGCGAAAAAAAATGCTATTCCGTCGAGAACAAGAAAGAAATTATGGAAAACTCCAGTGATAAAAATCTTAAAGCTTTCTGCAAAGAGACGAGGTTGGATCTACGAATGGTCCCAAAAAGAGGATGAGACTACAAAAACATCAGTCAACAGGTCCAGGTCGACAAAGAAAATGCCAAGAAGGGTAAATGTGGATCGGTTCGGCAACTATTATTTCCTGACTTGGAATACATGACCTGTGAATGGATTGCAGACACATGAGCAAAGTGTTTGGTTGTTCGCAGGGTAGATAGCATTTGCCCTTGCAGCGGCACCATAGCTAGAGAAATCACCAGATGAATTCAAAGCATCACAACAATAAGTGGATGGCTTCCTTCAGCAATATGAACTGTCAAACTGGTCACTGTTCACTGTTAAACTGTTTACAAACAGATCGTCAACACTGTTCAAAATGGAAGATTCTGAAGTGCTCAAAATTGCACTTGCATTCTACTGTTTCGTTGATAACATTGAACTCTCCAAGGGCCAACTTTCAAACATGATTGCGATGGATGAAATTGCAGTGTTTATAGATCAAGGGTCTCAAACTACCATTGACCGCAGGGGAGTGCCCCTTCGATATGCATTTCCTCCACTAGTTACGAAAGTGCACAAAATACATGTAAATACATTACATGTATTTTGGCAATTCGTCTCGATGGAAACACCCCACCCCCTGTAATCATCTCTAAAGGCTGGAAAGAGAAAATCGAACGTGTTTCAAGTATTTATATTTTTGAGACTGAAAAATCTTGGTGTACAAAAGCCGCAATAAGAAAATAGGTCGATTTATTTCTACCACTTGTTTTGCGAAGTGGCCAAAGAGGTATGCTATTGCGAGATTCTGGCAGCACTCACTGTGTTAAAACCACGAAGAATTTTCTTGCACAAACAAGAATCTATTAAATAATTCCCAAATGAATGACTGAATATCTTTCAACTCTTGAGATTGCAACGAACAAACTATTTAAAGACCATTAAGCACTGAAATCAGTGACTACGCTGAAAATAGAAATATAAGAAATCAACGAGGAAATTTTGGAAAGCCTAAGGTATAAGAAGTCGCTATTTGGGTGAAGAGTGCATGGGATAAAATAACGGACAGCTATGTTGTCAATGCCTTACAAGCAAGCTGCATAGACAAGAAGACATCTGAGGAGAGTTCTATTGCTTAACATTAGACGATAGGGCCAATGATCTTAGAGGAAATGAAGGCGCAAAACATTCAAATCAGAATTCGTGATTTTGAGCTTCATGAAGTTGTTCCAGAAGAAGACAACACGGCTGTATTAGAATAAATGATATTGTTCAGTTCTGAATATTTCTTGAGCCTGAATGAAGGTATTTATTTAACCTAAGGAAATGTATTTCTTGAATATGAACAAATGCTAATTATTGTGCATGAAAAATAAAGCATCTCCTGGAAAAAAAAAAAGGGTTTTCGAGTGTCTTTTGCAGCAAAAATTATATGACCGGGTCTTATTTTCGGGGAAACACAATAATTCATGAAAAGGAACAATTGCTCGTATGTTTTGAAAGAATACTAAATTTCTACTCACCTGTGAAGATGAACTTGCATCTCGCACAGCATGATTATTACCACTTCCATTTAGGTCAGGCGAATGGCCATTGATTTTGCCCGTTTCTTCAAGACTAGGAGTTACACCGCGACCAACGCTACTTCCATCACGACGACTGCCAGCATCACTAGCGTCTGTTTTGGTGCTCTTGAGCAATTCTTGACGAGAAAAGTACCTGTCATTAAGCGCTGATGACGCTAATCCCAGCTCATCCTGCCATGCACTGGACTGAGCGGGTGAATTAGAAGCCTTGGTATGATGCTGCATGTCATCTAAGATTTCGGATCTCTGCTGGGATGTGCTTGAATTAGTTTTGGAGGCCAAGTAACGTTTGTTGAGTTTACTAGTTTCTGAGAGTCCTTGTATCTCTCTTTCATTGTACCGTTCATTTAGTTTACTTTTGGATAATCCCAACATTGATCCTATTGGTTCTGGTCTGGATTTAGATAGATGATTGTCTTCTACAACTAAATCAGATCTAGTTGTTTTACCATTCTCAAAGTAGCGATCGTTGAGGGCACTAGTCTTAGAGAGAGGAGGTTCGGCCTTTACCACATCCTCCAGCAATCTTTCATGAGAAGTTGCTCTCAAACGTTCTTTCTTTCTTTCTCGAGAAACTGAGTACAGAAAAATTTATTATTATTAGAAGAAAACATATAACATTCTAAGGAACACACTTATACAATTATTAAATAATAAACGAAACTCTGCAGCGACATTTATTTGATATCTTTTTACTGCATTTCTAATACCTTTCATGCTAGTTTCTTAATCAAGTACCAGCATGAAAGATATCGTTTAATCTGAATAATTAGTTATTAATACAAAGTCAACAAAGAATACTATCTACATGCGTTTTCATACGAACATAGGACAATGGACTACTCGTAATAGCCTAGTTGCATTTTTTATTAGATAAATATCTTAATCATGGTTTTTCTGGGCAAGGCGACGGAACAACAAACATTAATGACCTAAATAAATTCACTATCTCGAAAAGAGTTGCATCAAATTCGCATATTTTAGTTCTAATTTCGAACTGAAGTGCCAAAAATATAAGTGTTTATAAAATCCTTATAACTAGATGTTGATCATTTTAATCGATTTGAAAGTTAATTGGGAAACTGGCAGTTCGAAATCAGTATACAGATCAAGATCCTCACCCCCCCCTAAAATGCGAGATTACCTTTTGTAATGAAATTACAGGCTAATTTTAAATATTATTCTAAGGATACATATTTTAATAGGGGAAACAAAGAACTAACGGACATATCCTAAAGCAAATAATGAGTTTGCTTTTATTAATTTGTAGAAAGGAAATGCGGTATGCAAATTAGAAATATATTTTGTAGTTGTTAATACAAGACTAACATAAAAGGCCAGGCATGGCAGTGTTTTATGCTTTAACAAATATACAGATACTAAAGAATGCGGATAAAGTTAGGTTATGACTGGAGTAAGGAATTTGGTTACAACTGGAACTTGATTTAAGAAATAAAATCTTTTTATATTTCCACTTACCATAGTCGACAGAAGAATGTTGATCAACTCTCGTAATGTCATCTATGGATCGAGATTTCACTGGTTGTCTGTAACGGATTGGAGCTGGTGGAGATTCGTCAATATCCATTTCAAACGTGTTAATACGCTCAGGATTATGCGGCCTGTAACAAAAATGATTATGTATCAAATACGTAGAGGTGAGATTAGTCTTAAAATGTAGAAAGATTACACGAGATCTATTATTTAGAAGCCTAAAATATATGAGTAATTTCCTTATAGAAATATAATTTTATCAAAAATAAAAGAACCATTTGCATCTAGTTCTTTAAAAATTGATGAAAGGTACACCTAAAGTTGACAGCAGAATTAGATAACGCATATGCATCTTCTAATTTCTCGCAACAATTTTTACAGATAATAAGTGAGTTTTAAAGATACTAAAAATCATTCTAATTGTATAAATTGTTACTGAATAATCTGCTACAAACTTTTATCATGTAATTGCAAAAGTTGACAAATTTCTTTTAGCTCTCCCAAAATTGTTTAAATGTTAAATGAGTTTTTTTAATTACAGGTGCGAAAGATTCACATTGGTAGTAATTCTATATGTATCTGATTCAACATGACGTTGATTTTTAAACGTTAATGAATCTTTCATTTTGAGTCTTATTGAGGTACAACCAAGCATTTTGAAAGTAGTATCACTTTGAAAGTAGTATCACATTGCAAGAAGTCGAAAAATAAGTAGAAATTTCATTACTATGAGCATCATGTACTCAGTGAACAGAATGCACTATTACTAATAGAAAGCAACAGATAATATTAACAGAAAACTAACAAATTTTTAAATTAATTATATGTCTATTTTTCCTGTTAATTATATAAAAGTTATTTGATTATGAAGTACACTATAACTTAAGTGTTATAAAAATATATTTTTTTACCTTTCCTTATTTTTTTTTTTTTTTTTTTTTTGATTCAGTAATTAAAACTAGAATTTCAATTTTTCAGTATTGGTTTACAGGAAACGAAAAGTAAAATGAAAAGTATTATGTTAAATTTAGTATTTCTGAAAATAAAACAAATCATTTTAATACCTGACTATTTTAATTTGGCATAAAAAATTATCAGTACAACAAAATTTTCCGATTGTTGCAAAGGAAATACTAAATAAAACCTAAGGTAAAAAGTCCACCTTTTTTAGGAGAGAAAAATAATAATGTACTATCCTGCAACACACAATGCTATGACCAAATGCGTAGCAGATTAATTTTAATAAACATACTAAAAATATATCCCCATTTTCAAAGCAAGAAAAAATAGTTCGGAAAGCTAACTGATGTATCTGAGGAAAATTAAGTATTACTATGAATTTACAACAACAGTTTATTAGCAAGACGATTTTTCCTTAGAAATTTTCGATAATAATACAATTATATGTTATTCCTAATATAGAAAATGATTGGTAGAATAGAAAACAAATCTAACAGAAAATATACACTTAATGAAATTGAGAACTCACGATGTGGCCCACGCAGTAGAAGAGTCAGAGATTGTCTTATTTTTATTCGCAGAAACTAAAAAGAAAGACTTGCAGACTGGGAATGCAGGAGGAATTTCGGTCTCTGAAATAAGGTCTAGGACGTAATCGTAACCATTTAACTCATAGAGATCCCCGTCGTCGTCTAAATCCACGGTCCAGCCGTAACAATCATCCACTCCCCTATCAAAAAATAAACACATTATATAATAAAACAAAGTAAAAATTAATTGAACAGCATAATCGTTACTACTAGAAATTTTAGACACTGAACAATTCGGAAGAATTAATAAAACCTACAGGCCAAGAAGGCCGTGGAACCCACAGAAGTCAGAAATAACTACTTCTATGATGGGACCAACGTCATTTCCCCTTTCCTAGCTAAAATTCTAACGCATATAATATCAACGGTTAATAATACCAAAAATATAACCCAAAATGTTGAAAATGTGACACAACAGATATAAAAGTATAATGACGATCTAAATAGCAGCCTCGAATAGAAATGTGTCTAATATAGTGTGAATGAGCGAAAACGCTTGAGAACTCCTGGTTTAGACAAGTTCAAGTTCTACGAGTTGATGCCTGTGTATTAATAAATTAAATATCGCGAAAGGGTTATAACACAAAATATAAACTGAAATGTTGTTTTAAAATCGGGTTCGAACATTTTATAGATGTCTTTTCGGACCCAAATCGGATAATTCTGAAATTTCCTACGAATTTTTTGTGTTATTATAAGGTGTTGACTATATTCCAAGTTATGAAATAAGTTTGCCCAAGCAGAGTGAATATTAATACAACCTTCATAGTACATACATAGCTTTCTTATAAATATTAAATTTAATCTTCGAAATCCTATAAGGAGAATGATACAGAAGAAGTTTAGGGACCAAACATACTTAGTAATGCAATGTTCCTATTAAGAACGGACAAAAATTGCAATTTTTAAATATTTAGAAGCTTTGAAGCTATAGATGATATATCTGTAGAATTCAGATAGTAACTACTGCTAGGTAGTTAAAAGAAAAAAATTTACAGTGATGATTAAAAAAAAATGAGTCTAATTTTGTGGTGGAAAGTACGCAGTTGCAATAAACTAAGCAATGAAAGGCATCAGAAAAATAAATTTGAAAGCGGTAATAACCTCAGGTAATAATACAAATTAGCATATAACTACACTTAATTTGGCTCTAATTTCAATAATCGAATAGATAAAAAGTTTCTGGCAATTTAATTAGGGGAATCTTTAGGTTTATCTTATCTACAACATTTATTAGAAAAACTGGAACCTATTTTTATTTTTAAACAGAAGTTCGATATTTTCACTATCAGCGGTTTAAAGCAAACAATTACTGGAGTCGAAGATAGAGATAAGATTTGAAAACATATTCTTAGAACATTGTTTGCTTTTTATCTTAATGTTTCATCATGGTATGCATCTTTAGGCCAATGGATTTTGGATTTTTGTTACAGGAGGTATTGCAGCACCTCCCGCCAATGTAAACTTAACTGAAAAAGCTTTCGAGAAGGACTTTCTAAGAACTCTTCTGCTGGGTTAGGACTAGATGGTTCAGATCGATACAATAGAAAACATTTTAAAGGAAACTGACTTGTTTTCACATTATTTGTTAGAGGAATATCAGAAAAAATCCTCTCAGGCAACTCAAACTATCCTCACTTACTGCCGAAAGATCGCGCGAAGACCTTCCATAACAGCAGGAACAAGCCATCCCACCTCATTTATTTTAGATACTGAATTCAAAATGAATATTTAATACTTATATTTTATATCTTAAAATAAATGATCATGCATCTAAAATTGAAAAGTTTTATAACAAAAATTTTATACAAAATCTTGCTATATATGCGTAATATAAAGCACTTAAGTGTAACTGTAATATATATGCAATTTTATTTATCATACATGCTTAAAATTTTACGACATGGAATTAACTATAGTGAGGCCCAATGCTAAAAATATTAGAACCTATTATTATACATGAATTTGTATTTGGACTGCGGAAAATAATATTCCTTACATAGTATAACTACGCATAATTTTTTTTTTTAGTCCAAAGGGATTTGAATCCCGAAGGACTATTAGTTTCGTTTTGGCATTTTGCGTCGGACTCATAAATGTCGGTTCACTTTTCAAACTGTTGCCACAAAATGTTAGAGTCCTGCATTATATTTGAAGAAGAAAATTAAATAATAATGAAAAATCTGCATAAATGTATGTATTTCTCGTATTGTCATAAAATAACGGTACATAGAGTCATCGAATTTTGAATAACGTAATCCTCCAACGAATATGAGCATGTGGAAGACCAAATTTGAAATTTGAAATTTGTTTTATGATCGATTTCCTATTTTTTAAAACTTTGACGAATTTTTGATTAACAAACTCAAGGATTTCAAAGCGAGCAATGGCAACGTTGTGCAGAAAAAACATTTTTATCTCCAGCGCGTGAGTCTCTGTATCGGAAATTCTAAAGATATGCTCGTTTTAAAACTATTTTGCGATATTGCTGTTGCACTGGATCTTATGGTTTAAGTGCGAGGAACATGATATTTAATAAAGAAAGGTAACACACAAAATGTTAAAAAACGCCCCTTTGGACGTAATTTAAAATCTGAAAACATTTCAGATTTTTTTTTTTTTTTTTTTTTTTTTTTTTCGATATTTTCAGTAAAGTTAATGTGGCATGCAAATGTAATCGATTGCCCGTTTTATCAGTAAGTGATTCAGAATTCGCAGATCTTCTATTTATTTGACAATAATATCATATCAATCTTTTCTCTGATAAGAAAAGTGCTTCTAAATCAACAACACAGTTTTTTTTTTTTTTTTTTTTTTTTTTTTTTTTTTTTTTTAAGTTCTTCATTTCTCTTACATTATTTAAATAAGTTGGTATTAATGTACACTTTTTAATGAGTTTCTCTTTTTTACAGTTGCTAAATAAAGTTTAATTTATCACATTTAATTATAAAATTTCTGCTAATGTATCAAATCTTGATAGATCATCTAAACATGTATGCATCTTCAGAGGATAGATGTATACGAAATGAAAAGGATAGGAAGAATTCAGCTTTCATTTAACGTTAATATACTGCCCGACATCGAAAATGAAACAACATGGTGATTTGTATAAATATGCAAAGTTCGGGGAATACGTGGCTAAAAGAGTCATGGAGATGATGTAAGATGCAAGTTGGTAATATGATTATAGCGCAAGATATAAAAGGAAGAAAGCGGCGGACGACCCAACAGTCGCTACTCATTGTTTCTCAGGAAATCCATAACTTCGAGAAATTCAACATACATGTGTGAATTGACAGGCACGTATGAATGAAAAGATGCCTAAACTACGCTATCATAGACGGTTCGGGCAAACTGGCCATTTTACGAGGGGTCAAATTATACACTTAAATACGGTTGGTTGGTCTTACCGTTGTATCACGGCTGAACCGCATGTAAATGTATTCACTGTGCATAGAACTTACTCTAGCTGGATCGATGAAGGAAATGTAAATAGATGCGGAAGACGAGGTTCATCTAAACGTACTAGGTCCATCTAGATTGACACATGCGTACTGTGGACAATTTTCAGAATGTGCAGGGCGCTTTGAATGCTCCAATATCTGGGAGAATAGTTTCCCGACGTTTGGCTGAAAGCGGCTTACACACAAACCACCTTTGCGAAGACTGCAATTATCCCCAAACAATCGACACGAGTGCGATGGAATCGACGAGTTCCTTGGACATCTGAATGGTACAGTGTGGTGTTCAGAGGCGAGTCATTGTTTGTTTACCTGATGACAGTCACTGATTAGGAATCTGGAAGCATCGGGAAGATAGAGTCAATTCGACTACTTTTGCCGAATGCTACACAGCAATTGTCCAGCAGTGTAAGTATTTTCTTATATATTCCACAAAAATGCCGTCAGCTGTCAATTACGGTCACCTATTGTATGGTTCCAGATGGCTCGATCTTACACTTTCTACCATAATGAAGCAAAGAACAACCATTTATGCATAGGCTATAAATGAACTCTATAAACATTTATTTTAAAAGCTTGGAGAAATGTTTCAAAGCATTTTTCAGGTCCTTTATTCTTATAGAAAAAATAATCAGAGGAAAATAATTTCTCTATAAAATAAAAAATCTTAAGTTCAACTTAACAGACTAATTTTCAACTTTCATAATACTCTCAAATTCCTGTCATTTTAGCCGAACATTGAAACAGAAAATTTGCAAAACTTGCTGGTTTGAATTGTCCTGTTATTTGATTAGTCCTGCAATGAAATTTTTATGATGTGTGAAGAAGTTTACATGTGTACATTAGCAGAATAATTTTACTCCTTGAAAAAGGAACTTATCTCATATTTTAAATTATTTTCACGTTTTTGCATATTTATTTAATTGTTTTGCCATTCATGTGATATACGATATTGCATGCAATATTTTAAGTATTGACTTTACATCAAGTTATACATAAACGAAAATTATGTATAATATTTCAAGTACTTTGAAAAGTAAATGAAAGATAGAAGAGTATCGTGGATTGAATAGTGCATAAACGCAAATGGTTGTAACGCACCAAACGCATTGTAAATAGTTGTTAAAATTCATGATAAAATTATAAAACAAATCAAAAATATTTTGCTGGGCAAGAAATGATAAAAAGAGCAAAAGAAGTAGTTTTCATTATATGAAGTCAATTTGTCAGTCTAAAAGCAAAACTGTAAAGCTCACAGTTTCTATATTACTAAGTTTGTAATTTAGTCGAATATGAAGTTAACGCAATGCCAAGAAAGAAGAAGAATGATTTAAAAATTAAATAAGTATAAATCTTAAAACTTTAAAAATCAATAAATGCGGCAAGAATTAAGCACATAGCAATAAATATGAATAGAATGGCCTTCAATATGAAAATTCATAGACACTTATACTGATTCATAAAAAATAAACAATATCAAGCATGGGATACATCATAGTAATGTTTCAAATGAATCATTTAGGAAGGAAACTATAAAGGGAATTGTAAATAATCATTATCAGAACAATCATTTTTAAGAATACTTACGTGAATCATAAACTTTATACACCCATTTTTATTAAAGCAAAGCCGCTGCATAAACTCAACCTTTCTACTTTACAGAAGCGAGAGTAAGTCTTATCATAGTTTGTGGAGATAATAACCATGGGACATAACACAAAAGGTGGTCTTATCATTATAGTTTTGATGGTAGAAAAGAATTCTTTTTCCTTCCGCTGTTTTGTTATTTACAGTCACTCAAAGCGGAGTAATCTTTATGCAAATTTTAGAAAAGTTTATGCCAGATAAATTTTTTAAGGCTTTTGAGATTCAATTAGGGATAACGAGGTTGCATATTAAAACCTTACTTACATTGCACAATAGAAAATATGACGAATGTTCCAAGTATCCGTGTTTAGAGGATACCTATATTTGTACATTTTTTTAATTGAATGAATAGTATTTATTTCTTATCGATTCCAATAACTTTATCTATCCATATAACTTTATCGTATAGAATACAATATTCTGAATTAGTTTTTTGCCAAAATTAAAATTCGATACATTAGTTTTTCACTAAAAATGACTTTAAACATCATGCACCGAATGTTTATTACACTAGAAAAGGTGTTAATACATTTTTAGAATGATTTAATCTATGTTTAAAATGCAAAGAATATTTTTTTAAATGTTCGATTTGATAGCCTTTTTTTTTTTCTGCATTATAAGTCTGCAACGTGATTTCCACGATAAAAGAGCTTTTAGTAAAATTTCTAAGGGTATATTTTTACATTCCTGTTCCATTACTTTCCTCAGTCCATCAATCGGGGTGGGTTTGCGCTTGGAAAGAGCTCTTTTAAAGAGATAAAAGGCACAATAGTTCACAGAGGAAACATCGAAGGAATGCGCAGAAATACGTTGAAAAGGTATATATGCAAACTGTCTTCATTTTTTTCTACAAATACAGTGATATTTTCCAAAGAATGACTTGTTGCTATGTCTTGACGAAGTTTCAGTCTTTGCATAGGCATTTGGGGTAAAGAAATGGCATTTCTTCTGTAAATATCGAACTTTCTCTTGGTAGTAGATTAAGTTGACCTTATCACTTTTTTCCAACGCTTCTTATTTTTAATTTCACACTGTAAGAGGATCCTGCTACAATCATAAACCCCTTACTGAAACTTTCTTTGTATTGACAGAACCAGGTCGTTGTTGCAATCATTTAAGTAAACTCATGCTTCATTCAAGTGTCACAGTGTTCTACAAATTGTTCTGCGTTGAGCCAGACGTCTCGGCAAAGGTGAACGTTACGTTCTTTAGCTTTATCAAATTACAAATCTCGATTTATTATTTTATTTGTTATTACTACAGATGTATTTAAAGACTTTGCAACTGATTTCTGCGTCGGCAGGTTTTCTCTTGTTATGAACGATTTAACTTTAGAAATACATACGTTCCTCGGTGGCTAACATGATTTCTCTTCATGGGAACGGAATCTGTAACACCAGCGCTAAAGGGCTCATACGCTAGGCTTAAGAATTCAGCCTTTTCTAAATTGGGGAGCACTGAAGGGCTACCTGGACGCCGCAAACCCTTCCCCAGCATCTGTACGCGAATGAGAAGGGACGACTTATTGGCCTCTTTTGAGCCCATTGCATTGATATGATTGATTATTGCATTGATGTGATTGATAGTTGCACTGGTGGGGTGTTCTACTCCATTCGTTCAGTATGGCTCGTTGGGCTCGGTTAACACTTAGGCAGCAAGGCGCCGTGAATGGCGCGACTTTTTCCTAGGTGGGCGAGTGGAGGAGGTGCGTGTTTTTGTCAGCTAGAAGGGGCATTGCTGTGGAAATTCGCGGAGCTGTGATTGAATTACGTATAACTGGCAGCTGTTCAGTGTTCCTAGAGGAGGCTTTTGCCTGTGGCTACATATATGGGTCAAAATCGGAAGTGTGGTGAGAGAGACGTCGGTAGCTTAAGGTCTTTTTCATTTGAGCGAAATTCGCTATTAAAGAGCTCCGTTAGGTTAAAGAATTCCGATTCTTTCTAATTAACGAGCGCTGAGTGCCTGCACGGACGTCGCAAGCCTATTTCAGTCAAATCTATAAAATCTAATTATCTTTGCTAATATCCATTGTGTTTAATATCAGTCAAATTTTTCTGTCACAGTTAATCGTGAACGAAAGTTTTCTAAATGTTTTCTGTCGTGATTTACCTGACAAGTTTAAAGATAGCAGTAAGGCTTTATTCACTAAATTAATAACAGAATAGTTTACATCACCATGTTATAAGAATAATTATTTAAAGTTGATAGCAAAATTCACAGTTTTTAATTAAATTTATTTGCATATCTTCAGAATGGTGATTCCGAAATGAAACTGAAAGACAGAACTGATGAATAAATCAAATGAAAGATAAAATAATGGTAACACAAATTCATATTTCTCTATTATTCTCAGATTTATTTACTGCCTAGGCCCAGGTGCAGAACTTAAGAATCACCCTATACTTTACATAATACTACTGTATAAGAACTAGGAATATGAGTAGCTAATGACTTCTGAAAGAATGCTGCATCTAAAATCGCAGATAGTTTTAATCCGCCCCTAACAATTTTCTAAGTTCTGAAAAATAACCATTACTTTTTACTTCGTAATTAAAGAAGTTTCTTGAAAATTAATGCAAGCTACATTCCCTTTCTCTGCAGTTAGTCTAGCATTGTTAACATCAATAATACATTATTTTATCAAATTGCTTATTAAGAGTTGAACTGCTTTTAGGGAAAAATTACTAAAGTCAGTACTTTAAACTTAACTCCATCGAAGAAAAGTATCTATTTCGATACAAAGCAGTCGATATACCAGAAATAAAATTTACAACATAATACAGAGAAAGAGGATTTTCCGTTAAATAAAAATTCATAATAAGAATAGTCTCACCTGGCTTTGAGCAAAGATGCTGCGAATTCTTCTCCAGTCGTGAGCGATTCCACGGGACCATACATGCTGTAACCTAAGGGAGAAGAAATGAATACTATTTATTCAGCAGACGATGACTCGTCTTCTCGGAAACACCAACGTAGTTCAGGTTCAGGATTACTCTTATCGGAGGTAAAGAACACGTGCGTATTTCGCTAAGAACTCAAGTTAAAGAATGCTAGTTAAATTACAAAACAGGAAAATAAGAACCCATCTTCCCCTCCCATTTTCCCCCTTCTTTAACAACAAAAAATTATTTACTTGTTATATGGATTTAACAAACTGTATTAGTCCATTTTTAATTGTTCAATTTTATATGCATCGAAGTTGCTAGAAGTGAAAAAAGAGGAATTTGCAAAAATATGGTATAATGTATAATAAATATAATAAAAATATGGTATAATAAATATCGTACCTTCAATTTGCATATGGTGCACTTAGAATATTTAGGAGATACGAAAGCGTTTTTGATTATGGTCTTTGCTACTATATTTTTTCCTATTTCGTATAAAAGATTAATGCACTTACTTTTAATATATCAAATGCAATAAAAGTGGAAGTTCGAAGCATTTTGTGTTCTTAAATTATATTTATTCCGTAGAATATTCTTCCGTTTATTAGTTAGCTTTAGTTAGTTCTTTTAAATTTTCTTAACCTTGTAAAGTGTTTTCTCCCTCTTTAACGCATGCCTTCGGGGTATCATTGAAGCATGTTCGGCTATCATCGAGAGGTCCGAAGTTTGAATTCCGGCGAGGGCTTTGTTTATTTTCCTGCTCCAAAATATTCTAATGATTTGCAGTGGCGTCCGAACTAAAATGACATGAACAATAATTCGTTACCATCGGGATTTGGCGATTGGGTTTCTGTTTCCTAGACGTGTAAGTGGAGAAGAATATAAAGTATTTTCTCCCTTCTTATCAGGTGCCTCCGTGATGTAACTGGAAGCACATCGACTAGCAATCGGGAGATCTGGAGATTGAATCCTAATGTGTTCACTGCTCATTTTCCCTCCTTTCCTATTTAAAACAAATTTAATGACTCCACAATCTTTCGCCTATGGCAAAGTTTAGAAAAGAATGCAAGTGATAGACGTTGGACGTCTATCCACGATTGACACTATAAATGACAATTTTTTTTTCCGGTAGGTATATTCAGTAGAAAGTATACAGAAGCAACGGAAATACTGAATTACTTTGATTTAAAATTTTTGCTGAAATCAAATCTTTTTAGTATTCGCATTCAATCTTCTAACAAGAACTCGCATGTTGCAATAATTTTAATGAATACACTAAATATAAATTCAAATTCAAAAATTTAATCATCTATATAGCAGAGTATACTGCCAAACAAAATGCCTTTCTGAATTTTTTTTTCTTTTTAAATTTTTAACACTGCTGGTCCTTCTATTTTTCTTAAGCTTCTCTTTAGATTATATGTCTCGATAGAAAATGTTAGTATAAGGGAATATAAATTATTTCCCTTTAATGAATGAATCTTCATAAAAAGCTTTCTACTTTTACGACATCATTTTAATTTTGTTTTTAAACACAGAGACAAAAAGTAAATTTTTCTCGCTACTTTTTTTTACATAAAATGAAACACTAGCATTAATTAACTTATATATACGATTAGATAAAGGAGCCTACAAATCTTTCAGTAATATCAGTTGAAAGCTTTTAATTACTAATGATTAATTAAATACTCAAGTTTTCTACAGCATGCAGATAATAAACTGTAAATGCCTATATATTTTACTTAAAAAACATCCTTATATACAATTACCTATGAAAAGTTACAGGGTATTGAAAGACTAATAAACTTAAATAATTCCATAAGGCTATTTTGTTTTCATTTATTTATTCAATTTACTAAAATTAATACTTAGTACAAATATAAAACTAGGTTTCTCAGAAAGACTTTCTTCTTTTCAAACCACAAAATGAAAGAAAGGTATCTGTGAGTTTAACATTTTTCTCTTATGTTCACTCTCATGAAATTAATTAAAAGAGAAAAAACAGTGTTGCATTTATTACTGCTGAGTTCAGTCTATTGGACATGGTCCTTGAAGTGTAAAAAACTGAGATGAATGAAAGCTGTATCTACTCACTATAAGTAAAATATTTAAAACTCGCTAGTTAAAGAAATCATTTTTATTTCTGCATATGACTTTACATATCTAAATGATGAATCACGTAATATAATTTGAATGATAAAAATTTCTCATATTTTATAGCCAATACTATTTTAATTATTAAACGCATTTTAATTGAAAATCTCGTTTTTAATGGCTTTCGAACTTTATGTTTTTATAACTGTGAGATTACTCCAAGAGAATTAATTGGTGGAGAGTCCCATTATAACATTTTAAAGTTTTTAAAAAACTATAAAAATTATCAGTTTCTCTAAATGCATACTTGGAAAGTGTAACTAGTTCCTAGTTATACTGATATTTTCAAAATGCATAATAGCATGGTTTAAAGATAAATATTTGTAAAATGTATCCCTTGAATATACAGTTTTTATCTGTATTTCATGTTTTTTTTAATATCCTAGCTTTATGTAAAAATCCTCTGTGACTAGCCTTTATTGCAATTTACAATAATTTTACAACTATATGTACTTTGTGTTATACTATTACTTGTGAGTGTGCACTAATATGTGTCTTTGCCTTTTATCATTTCAACATTTGAAAATGCGCAGCATGTGTCTGATACAGCATATCTTTGATTTTTGTTCCAAAAAACAAACTCACCAACCAACCAACCAACCATGTCTTAGGGCAGTAAATATATTACACAAAAAAGCAGCCAGATTCGCAGTGTGATTATTGGTTAAATCAAGAAAACTTTCGTGAACTAATATATAACCATTTAAGTACTCTTAAATAGTAATACTTTTAAATTAATTTTTTACAGCTATAGTAACATAAATTAGTAAAATGCAGGCAATGGTTGGAATGCCAATAAATAAATATATGGGGTTTCAGTACTCTTAATTGTTATTAATATGTGGGTTTGGGAATTGTGAAAAGCAATGAAGCTTTTTTTAATTATTATCATATATATTTAAGAATTAATTTACAATTGATTGACGAGAGTTGTCTACGCTTATTTACTGTTACTTCATTATTGCATTCCCCCCCCCAGGAATCTCTCTCTCCTCTCCCCTTTAATTATTATTATATATATTAAGAATTATTTACAATTGATGACGAGAGGTCTACGCTTCTTACTGTTACTTCATTATCATTCCCCCCCCCAGGAATCTCTCTGCTCTCTCCCCAGGAAAAAAGACATGATGAATATCGGTTGAAATAAATTGCAATTATATGCATATGGGCACGAGGCCAAAAATTTCGAGAGACATTATATTATGCATATGCGTTTTTTTTTTTTTTTTTTTTTTTTTTAAGTTTAAAATACTTTTTTTAATACTTCATAAATAACACGTACATAAACGTTATAATGATATATTTTAATTTGAAAAGCATCGCGCGTTGAATATGGATTTCATTTGTGGGTACTAGAAGATCACGAACTTCACGCAATTTAATAAATGCTATTTCTTTTTCGCATTTCATAAGTACAGATAATCTTCGCTGGACCTCGATCTCCAACCTTGATGGGTAATTCGAGGTTCTGATTTGTATTTTCGATCAGAACTATTCTGCGGTATATTTTTCGCAAAAATTGAAATATAAGGGAATATTCAATTAATAATTTATAACAAAAATCAGACAATAAGGGGAAAATTGAAATTCTGGGATTTATTTGATATTTGCAATGTTATAAAACTTTTATTAAAATTTGCAGAAATTAGCAAACATTCTCCTTCGGCTAACGAATTATTAATTAACGAGTAACTTGCTATGACATAGCCCAGCATGAAATAGGCTCAGAAGCATCTTCTTAATTGCATTTAATGAATTTAATTTCAGTAACATGTTTATGCAATATTAGGTTTTGGGGCCTTTCTTATTGCCATAAATTCCGTAAGGAGTTAATTATATTAAGCTACGTATCATTGCGGTTCTCGATGATTAATTTATCAATAAAAAATCACATAATGCATTTAACATGTAATAAATCATGTAAACTATTAACCATAATAAAATTTAAACAGTATGATAGGTTTAAGACAAATAGAAATGTCAAATAGCTTTAAAAATTGCAGTTATACACTTCTAAATGTAAGAAATAGAAAGAAATATTCAGTGGAAGGATTACCCAAAAATTAACTTATTGATAACTTCTGCAATAAAACTACTAATAATTAAACACAACTATAATTTAAGAATTAATATTTCAGATTAATCAAGCTGTCATTGTTACATTTAATTTATAAAATCAATATTGAAAATATGTATCATGACTACTTTGATAAGATGAATAGATTATGAGTATTTTGTTTATATGTAAACCGCAAGTTTAATTATTTTATAATTCATATTTGAGATGTAGATCAACAGCAAATTATCGTCTTGCAAAAGAAATTAAATCACTGGAAAGGCTTGTCTTTCACGGCTAATACTACTGTGATTGTTATTTTTAAATGATAGATGATTACACATATTTCGATAATTCCTTCCTCAAACTACTGACCTAGAAACATATTTTACAGAAAATTCAAAAATTCAAATACATCTTTGATCCATAGTAACACCTTTATTTCTCAGAGTAAAGATTTTAAAAAAAAAAAAAAAAAAGTTGTTTAAGCACACAACAAATTTTTTAAATGGATGCTCTCTAATGCTCAGTTTTGTCAAATTTTAAAATTCAAACAAAAACAAAAAACATTTCTTACATTTACTAAATGCTTGACTTATAAAAGTTATCTTACCATCAGCAAACTTCGCTTCAAGAGCCATGTTAGTCCTCCTGGTATTCGATTTCCATTCTAAAAGAGAGGGTGGGTACGTCCTTCGCCCTTCGGCATCCAGTTTTTCCCCCTGGAGAAGCTTTCTCTGACAATGAGCTTTATATCCATCATAAGCATGGTCTGATACATATCTAAACACGGAAAAAAGTAACCTAATTATTGAAAGCTAAAACTGTCAAATTCTCTGCTGACAGATATATAGACTGACGGAAAACTGAAGAATCCTCGCTAAAAACGCTCTGTAGTTACCGTAACGAATGAAGCGGACTTTGCACTGCTCTTGATGATTACAGCTGTTTCCCCGCCGTGTTGCTATTCAACCTTACATATTTCAGATGCAGACGTTTGTTTGTTTTTCGTTTTTTATTTTCTAATTTGCAATTTTGTGACTAACTAACTGTCTTGTTTCATTCTAAGCGGTAACGTATATTGCTGAAGAAGTTACGAAAGTAATATTTTCATAAATAACTTAAAATCTTATCAATATTTATTTCGGATATAGTGCATTTCCCTCAAAAACACTTGCGATCACGAGCACGAGATATATTTTAGAAGGGATAAAACTTAAATGAGCTTAATTAAAAAGGTTTATTACTTATGCTTTTTTTTTCTCGGGTGGATTAATACCATGTGGCACAAATTTTCGAAAAGTCTACTTTGCTTATTAAAATAAGGAAAATGGAACCAGAGCATTTTAAGCAGTTATATATTTTTTCATAAAATCTTAGATAAATTGTTTTTATTCAATGAACTGAAAAAAAATATATTCAGGTTTTAATTTTTAAATTTCAAAGACGTATTAGACGTATTAGACCCAATCGCTATTTTCTGCTTATTCTCAATGACTGTGATGATAATAGCTGGTTCAGGTTTTTAGTTTTAAAGTCAAGTTCTTTCTACTATTGAAGACAATTCACTCACAAACAAAGTACAAACCCCTAGAATGCAACTAAATTTTTAAAAGAAATATGCATTACCATATGATGAGAAATTCACAAAGATCCAATTAATATCAAAAATAAAATTTAGTTGTAAACGCACACCTTCCAATGCCCTTCTCAGCAAAGTTTCCAATGGAATGTTTCTGGAAATTCAGTTTATATGGATATAATCGGAAGCCTTCCTAAGGTCGGACTACCATGTGCTCTAGCAAAAGTATGGGCTGAATTTAATAATGAAATTTCTTAAATTTAAAAAATGAATTCCACATCTCTAATTTCTAATAAGACATATCGAAATTCCTTTGGTACATTTAGCCATATTCATTTTGCAAATAACTCGGTCATTATACTACTCCTACAAAGGATAATTAAATATTAATGATATCGAAAAAACTTACTTGAGCAAATATTTGTAGAGGTGTTTTGATGGCGCGAAGCAACTGAGACAGTTGGCCATGAGGATCCAACCCCGCTCATTATTGGCTTCATTATCATTCTTCCAGGTCTGATTGCACAACTGACAAAGGATCTCATCTCTCATCGTCTCATTCATGAGACCTTTTTGAACGATGTAATCACCAAGGATTCTCTCTTTCTTTCCACTTAGATTATTATCGTTCATAAAGCGGAGAATCTAAGAGACAATCAAAATAATGTCATAATGTTAAAAATAAGTAGTAGATCATTCTTGCTGTATAACTAGAATCAGCTAATACTGGCTTAAATAACACTAGATAACCAACATCAAAACAAAATTACAATGAAAAATACAGTTATTAAACACTTATTGGAAATGCTAATTATTAGTTATGAATATTTTCATCTTGTAAAGGCAAGTATTCTCTAATAATTTTACCTCATTTCTGTATAATTTTATCTTGTAAATGCGAAATAGGAATTATTATCTCACGTTAACTGCCATCGCATTGTCTTCTCACTTTGTAAAATTTCTTTAATACCTTATCTCGCAAGAAAAATACTTTTGAGTTTTTTTTATTTAACATTATACATAATGAAAAACCTTATCTTCTATAAAAACCTTGAATGGATAAACTTAGCACACTGCTCCTAATATTTTATTGTGGAAAGAAAATTGTCACATTTCCCATACAATCATTATGGAAAGCGTAATGATAGAATACTGCATGATTTCTTACTATGTTACTCCTGTGAGACAGCCTCTGGTAGTCCCAGCTTGGAATCTCAGCTTGGATCCTCTAGAATTCAAATTTTTTTACAGTACCGATGTCACATAGTATATGCACTTTTGTAAATCATGTTTCATCGTGACATGTTTTGATGTAGATCATTTTGTTCAAACTACTGTAATGATGTACGTTATAGTCAGTGTGTTCTTAATGGATACACATTTACTTGCTCACTTACCAATTTAAATAATGCTAAGCTGCTCTGGTAATCTGACTCATTTGTCTTGGCAAGAAACGGCGTTTTGATAGGTTCTCGTTTCATTCCCCAGATATGAGCTTTGAAGTACACATTAGTGAATTTAGTAAATGCATACTGATCTATGTCCGATGGCAGGCGATAGGTAAGGGTCCCAGATTTGGCAACTTCTCCCACCACCTTCAATATGTTACGCTCATTGTGTACACATTGCCATTCTTTGGAAGAAAATAAAATAAAAATACATATAAAACATTTTAAAAAGTATGATTTATTTAATGAGGACATTAAAAAAATATTTTGTCACTAAATTTATTACATTGTACATATATATAATAGCTAGATAAATTGGCATTCAAAAGAAAAGGCAGAGCTAAATATTAGTTACTTTAATCAGGAAACTGAGACTGATGCTTATTTTTCAGTCACTTGAAGAGGGAAAGGACAACTTAAAAGTCTGAAAAGATATATTCCTTCCTCAAAGTAAATTTTTGCATAAAGTTTAAAAGCAGAAAAATTTCAACTCTTTTGAAATAAGGGAAATTTGTTCAAGTAATTTGTTATTCATAGAAATAATTAATAATTTAAATTTTTAAGATAAAATACACCTAATATTTTTACTTAAAGAAGCAGTAACAAAATACACATAATATTCTTCAGGTTTTAAAAAAATGTAAAATCATTAGGGAGAGCTTTTTTCTCTAGGTTTCAAGCAGTATATTAGTCATGCCATTTGAAGCTGAATCAATCAGGAGCTACAGTAAAAAAAAATGTATTACTTAGACTTGGATACGTGTAGAAAGAGAAATGTCTATGACTAAGTACTTAAAAAAATCTAGGAAAATAAAAAGGAGGAAATATATTTATTTTAAAAAATGCATTTTTCCGGAAAAGAATAAACGAAAATTAACTTTAGTTAGAAATGAAAGCTTTATCTTTTAAAATTTTATTAGTTACAACTGAAAACATTTTTTTTAAATTTTGGTCACTGATATTTAAATTTCAGAAGTTCCAACACTTTTATCACAAAAGCCAGTTTTCATCTTTATGATAGATAGTCCATTTGCATAAAATGGAAAAGTTACAATTCTTACTTCAAAACTTAGCGTCTGCTCTGTCTACGATCGCCAAAAATGTGATAGATTGCAAAATTGTTAAATTAGTTGCTTCTTCTAGCTTATTTCACAATCCTGTATTGTGATGTTCTATGCGTTACAGTATTCCCGGCCAATTTCCGAGAACTTTAAATACTCGAGAATAAAAAGAAAATTCATAATAATAAGTGGAATGCATTGAAAAGAAACTCATCGGAAAATTTCCATAAGTTCTGAAACAAGTTACCGTTAAGTTTCATATCTTTAAGGTTATACGTTAGAGCTGAGTGATGTGAAGATATAAAAAAAGGAATGAAATGAAATAAATTAATGATTAAATAATTATCATATCTTTAAGCTGCTTAATAATGCATAAATAAAAATACATGTACATTAATTTAATTTAAATTAATTTTAATGTGTTTTATAAATTAAACAAGAAAAAGCATAGAAAATTTCAAATCTAAAAGTGCATGCATTTGAAATATGCAGAATTAAAGTTTAATATTATTTATCAGCAGAAATTACCAATAGAAATGGCCTGGGTAAAATAGGGGAACATTTTATAGGATACTAGAGTAATATACATTAAAACTAACATGGAAGCGTTACATAGCTTCTGTATGTTTCAAATGTAACAAAATACATGACAAAAATATTTAATGTTTTTAATAAGATGTATCCTGAATTAAATGCATTTTTATTTAACTGACTGAAAAAGATTCAAAAGTAAAAAAAAAAAAAAATATATATATATATATATTATATATATATATATTTTTAAGAACTGCATCTATTGTTTAAAGAGCTTAGTTTCCTTGTCAATAACAGACTGTAAAAATAAGTATCTTACACTTAGCGGAATGGCAACAGACTTCAATGAAAAGTGAAACAATATATAAAGAGAAACAACTCAAAAATCCCGTTTCGAGTCTAACAGCCATTTTGGGATAAAGATATAAATTTTATTCTTGGCATAAAGTTTTAATAATTATTTGCAGTATTTTTTTACATTGCATTTCATAATTCTGCATCGTGAATTACCGATATTAACATGCAGCATAATAAAAGAAAAGATTCTTAGTAACTTACCATCCAATTTACTGAAAATGAATGCCAGTTCGGCAGGAATTTCGAGATGATTGACCCCCGCCACTGCTCTAGATGCTCGCTCTTGCTCTTCTCTGTTAGCACGTTCTTTGGCTCGTTCAAGCGCAACTCTGTCTGCCTCACGTTTACGAGCCAAAATCGCTTTAATCTGCAGAGAACAGGAGAGAATAGCTAATTTATAAATCTTGATTATCACTTCATTCATATACACATGCATTAATTAATGCAAAATATGAAGAGAAAGATATTGAGCTTATCCTAACAGCAATGTTTTTAATGAATTCATTCAACTGTAATTGATGAGTACTTAGTTTATTTTCGTATATGATTCTCTTTTTCAAAAACTAAAATGTAATGATTAAAAATTGTCCTTTTTGAAAAAGTTCTGTTCCTAGGTGATAAAATCTGAGCTGTTTGTTATCAAATTTTTTCAGTGCAATAAATTATAATTGGAGACGCACTAGAGTTCAGAACATAACCTCCTTTTCCCCCATGTTTGCAGAAGCAAATGAAAAATAAATTAAAAATTTTATTTTTATTTCAAAATACTAATAATTTCAAATAGAAGTTTTAATTTCGGATTAATACATTAACTTCATTAGTTAAAATTACGTATTTTCTTTAAACACTAATCGACTCTAAAGTATCCTTCTTTATTGTTACCATGAATTTTTGTATATTTGCAAATACAAATTAAATCTTTTAATTTTTTTATGTACAGTTCAGTTCTGTCAATGTAAAATTAAAGAATAAAAGAGAGTTAAACTTTAATTTAATATTTATGCCCTAAAATTTTATAATGTTTTAAACACTCATGGAATTTCTTATGACCAAATAAAAATGTCATAAAAATTTTTAAAAAATTAGAAATTTTGCTTTAATATAAATATTTATTGCAAGATTGCTATTAAAATCGTTAATTATCTTTCTAATGAATTTAAATAAACCTACTATATTATCAAATTATAAAATTCCATAGAAACATTTTATTTGCTTCAAAAATAGACCGAGCTAATTTGGCCTACAGAAATTTCAGCTAGAAATCTGTAACAAAACATATTTTAATTCGATCCTTACCTTGTCATATTCCCTTTTCTGCCGCAACATACGAAAGTTAGCTTGCGTTCTGATAATACCTTTCCTTATGATCTGATACCTACGCCTGGAAAAAAAAGATTAACCAAATGTCAGAATATTATTAAAAGATAAAAATTGTATTCTAAAGGAAAATTGTACAATTTTATAATTTATGTAAGATAAAAATATGGAGATAAAATATAGTATTCTAAAGGAAAATTGCATAACTTAAAATTTATGCAAGATAAAAAATATGTAAATCAAAATTATAATTCAAACTACCAATAGCCTCTTAATTCCATCTCTCTATTCTAAAAATAGTAAAGCCTTTTTCTGCACTGCGCAACGTAGATCACATAGCTGATTCGTAACTCGAACTCAAAATTTCGAGACCTGAAACTTTCTCTTAATAAGCAACTTAAACCGAAATCTTCTCTTGGTGAGCTACCATGCTCGATTACCTGTACACTTTAGCTTCTACCTCTCTGCCTGTTAAGATGGTATTTCGCTTTGCTCTCTTCCTATCGCAACAGTAACAAAAATGTAAACGTTCTTGAATATGGTCGATTAAGGTAATTAGTCAAATAAATTGTGGCTACAAATGTGAACTGAAATAAAGATGAATGTATAGTTCACCTCTGCTGCCAAGTTTGCTATTCATTACGAATTTAACATTCTGCGCTAACAATATTGCTACGTCTTCTTGTATATATATATATATGTATACATACATATATATATATATACATTGTGGTAATTATCTTCCACATTATGTAGCTAGATTTGGTTACTTATTATGGCGAAGTGTTCGAGGATGTTCTGCCTTAGAAAAGATGCTTTTATGAAAGAAATAAAAATTTATTTTCCATAGACCTATCTTTTTTCGTGATTAACTTTCTAAGAGAAACTGGCTGGCATTCACGATACATATGGAGATCCTAAGTAGTCAGTCCGTTCGCCGGGATTTGAACCCAAGTCGAGCTAACAGTGTGCAGCGGTTTTATCCGCTCGCCCCTAGTAAACCATCTTTATGAAAGACTATGAGAGTATAAATATGAGAATGAAATATGAATAACAGCATATTTTCGTGTATAATATGCATAGTTATATTCTGCAACAAATAGGGCGAAAGTGAAGGACAGTTTTCAGTACATTTCCAAATTGCGATACCAAAAGATTTATAATTACTCCACAAATAAACTGGAATTGTATGAGGCCGTGATCTATTTCCTACCTATTTTTACTTCAGAAGCAACAATTTCATCAACAGATAACTAATCTGCGGTGAATAAGGAGACGGTCCGCATTACCAATTCGAATGACAAAAGTTTTCCACGTTCATCATCCATCATAAATAAATCCAACGTATATTGCCCTCCTTATGAAAAGAAAAGAATACAGAAGAAACATCATCAAAATACTGAATATGGTAGGCAATCATAAACACATATTTATGCCATCTTTGATGAAGAATTTTTGCATTTGCACCAACTCCTTTGCACCAACAGTCCCCTTCCTTCAGGTCTTTTGCACGTATAAGATACACATTAAGTCATTAGCTCTCAGTTACAAGATCTCTTATAAGCTACATTCCATGAAAGCTCTTATCGTAGCAAACATTGCATAGTCAAGAGTATAGTCATAAGTACATTGCGTAGTCATAAGTACAGTATATACTAGTTATTTCACAAATCTGTTCAAATATTGATGTTAGAGAAATATTGATCCTTGAAAACACGTCTAATTTACAGAAAGTTGCAGTCGAAGAGCATCACCTGTTGATCCTACAGTAACGCACTGGTATTCTCGCTTGCTATCAATTACCAACTACCGAATATTATACTCATGGAAGAACAGAGAAACCTCGAATACGGTAAAAGTGCTCACGTCTGGTTTCGATTACCCTGCCTTTCACTATCTAACACACTGTTTTATCCCATACCATGAAAACTGAATTGATACTAGAAATAATAATTTTTAATAATAATTCTGTTACTGCTAATATTTATTGTTCATTTAATACATGCTATCCCTTTCCCTTCCATGTGCCTTGCAATTCGCATAACAGCAATCATGGTCATTATAGTCTAAGACACTAAGAGCTTTTAGATAAAACAACTTATTGTAACTAAATATATTTTTACTTTCTTTAATATAGTATACCATATGTTTTGTATAACTGCACAATTTTATGCAATTTATTTACTGTGTACAATTTTTATACTGTAGAGACATTAGGCATTTTTGTTTTTTGGAAGCAGGCAAGATGAAAAATATACAACGCCTCCGCCGGGAATCGAATCCCGGACCTCTCAATTACGCGCTGAGCATGCAGACCACCACACTACGAAGGCATGCTAAGAAGGCGAGAGAAATACCTTATATACTCCCCATTTTAAAGGGCGACTGGGATTTTTAAGAGACCCAATCGCCAAATCGTGGGTGAGGAAAATCATCATCCAACATCCAACACCCTTTTAGTTCGGGCGCCACTGTAGAGACATTAGGTATTTTTTTGGAAGCAGGCAAGATGAAAAATATGCAACGCCTTGGCCGGGAACCGAACCACGGACTTCTCAATTACGCTCTGAGCATGCAGACCACCATACCACGAATGCATGCCAAAAAGGCGGGAGAAATAACTTATAATGCGATGAACCGACATATAAATTTTAAAGAAAGAATTTCTATTTGAGATACATAAAGTAAAATTATGTATTCATTTTAAAATTCAATAACTGTACCTATACCTGTCTTTTAGTGCATCATATATGAAAATAAAATGTCATTTCTTGTCCAGATGGATCTAATTTAATAACCTAGCTTCGTTTAGTTTCATGTTATCCAACAGTCACAATTATCTGCTGGGATTTGAATAATACTATTTCATTAATTTTTGTTTAATATTTTGACATGTTATTCTTTATTTCATTTAAAAGCTATTAATTTAAATTTATCAATCGAACTAAATTCACTGTGACTGCAAAATACTAATATCTAGACATACATGCAGCTGCGCATTATGAAGAATATACTTATTTATTTGGTTCCCCCCCCTGGAACGCGAGATCCCTCACGATAGCAACCTATGTAACTCCATTAATCTGACTCTGCGTTAGGCATATATACAAGAATAGAGTTCTTGAATTATCACATGATAATCTTTAAAATATGCAAACATTCTTCTTTGAAAAAATTTTCAAACATAATCCATTGCGTAAAAAAACTCATTAGGAAGCGAAGGCAGAGTGTATTTCCTTAAATGTCAGAGCATGCAGTAAATGAAAAACTAGAAGATAATATTTCAAATGAGTCCGTTTGATAACGCAGTATATGAAAACCATAAGTAGCCTACAGAGCATGGTTGTGATTTCGTGAAGCGTATTTTCCACGTCTAGACGCTGCGGAATGCAATATAACAGTGGGGGAATTCTCTTCAGCGGTAACAGAATAAATTATAAGCCTAATAAATTAGAAAAGTCCAAACGAAAAATAAGAATCTTCATACGTAGAGGAAGAGAAACGAGACTAAAGGTATACTCTTGAAAACCTTCTTTAGGCATCGCTTTTCATGTCTAATACTTAAAATTATGTGTTAAGAAGTGACTGTTTACTAATGGGAATGGTAACTAGTTGAGGAAAAGAAATGTCAATGATTATTTGTCTGAGGACTGACTGGTGAGCAAGAAAAGACACATTTTGGGAGAAGAGAGAGGGTTTTATAAATTTATTTATTTGATTGTAACAAAGCAAGCTAGGACTATCTGCCTAAGAAGAGGGATGTCTTCGTACAATATTTTCTAAGGGAAATTGGCTTGTATCAATGCAACATAGGGAAAATGACTCCTCCCTCTCCCAAACGGCACGAGTGCTGGAGCAAGTGTGTGTATATTTTAATGCAAATTACCTTGCATTTTTAAAGTTTTCTAATATAAAGTACCTTACAAACATTTTTCGCGAGCTTTTTCAAACTGGAGTATATTAATGCATTTGTTGCTTTAGTATCAGCAGATTGTATTGGCAGTTTGACATTCGATCAACTATAATCCGAACCCCTAAACTCTTCGACTGTGTTCTATCTTGCGCAATATATGCCTTTCAAACCAGAATTCCCTATAACAAAAATTGATAAATTTTAAGGAATTTAAAAATTTTTTCTTAAATCATCACTCGCAGAAGTAACATAAATAGTATTTGCGCATAGTCTTTTCTATAATTAGATTAGCTACGATGTCTACCTATAAAGTAAAAGAATCAGAATAATTTATTATTCTAAGATATTCTGTTACTTAAATATCAGATCTGAGCCATTATTATTCGTAAAGTAAAACTTAAAATATTGATTCAAAAATAAATTTAGTTTATTTTAGCGATTTTTCTAAGGTGAGAGAAGATCAAATTCATGAATTAGCTTTGTATTTTCCTGTTTAATTAATAAATATAACACTCCATTAAGAAATAAAAGTTGACTAAATTAAAATACAACCTTTTATGACCAGATAACATTCTAAATAACTTAACTTTTAGAATACGTTTTTAATCACACGAATTTCATACGAGTACGTCTTTAATTACCTGATAAAACTAAATAACTTTTATTATTTGAAATTCTATTCAACCCATTCCTCGTTTAGAGTTTAATTATAATAGTAAAATTAAGTGTTTAAGCTTTAAAACTGCTACAAATATGATCTTAGCCTTAAATACGAGAAAAGAAATGAGTTTGAATCTGAATTGAACATATTCACTTAGCAAAACAAGATTTGTTTTTCAAAGCTAAAAATTTCGAAAACGTCACAAAGGTATCAATTCATTAAAAATATTGAAAAAGCAATAGATAAATAAAAAGTGTTTCTTGCTTCACAAATAACTAACTTTTTGTTTACCTGGTTTTACAATCGAGAGGCACATTGCTAATCACAAATGAAATTTATAACCCAGTTTCCCACAAAATAACGATTACAATTTAATTAGCTGTACATTTTTCTCACAGAGCTCAAGTTAAAAAAATTACCAACACTAGACACACAAGCTCCCAAAATGTTATTCAGTTTGAAAAGTAAAATATACCTGGCGGTCCAGGCCCTGTATGCTGTCTGAATCTTGACGGCACTATGCCGCATAGCGTGGTACCTTTTCCTGGCTTGATAACCCCTGACATATCTCTGAATGGTGACAACAGATCCTCTGAGGATATTAACACGTTCTTTCTCCAGGGCTTGTTCCAAGGACTCTCTCAAAAACACCTGAAAAGAAATTTATGTCATAAGCTCTTCATCTGTAACATTATTAATGGAGGTCACGGCGTGTAACTGCACAGCATTACAAAATTTAATGCTGGTAGATTTTTTATTACAGTATTGTACAGCTGTTTGTTTTGGATTGAGTTTAATTTCCTCACAGAACATAAAGATTATATCTTAAGCGAGAATGTTTTTGAGGAGGATGGCTGGGTCTTCTGGGGGGCTGCTGATTACGAGTAAGGTCAGCACCCCCTAGAGTTAAAAGTTCTAGGGGGAAAAAGATTTTTTTATAGAAAACTATTATATTTATAGTATTGAAAAACCATGAAAAATAATTATTCAGAAAAATCACTTTGCCTTCAAAAATTAAAGTATTGTGAAAGATTAACATCATTTTGTCGGTACCTGCTCCCCCATCCCCATTGCTGGTGAATAAAAATGTTTGAAAGCAATTTGTCTCGATATTGCTTTTATAATGTGTCTTGATCTCGTTAATGTTGATTGAAAGCAAGCAATAATAATTTCAATTTTTATATAAACTTTACATAACATTAATTTATTAAAATATTCATTTAATCTGAATTCCTGACCTAAAAATATTTTAAATAGATTTATATAAAATCATACGAATGTTGCCAATATTCATATCTATACTCTATAAGATTGTAATCTGCACTAATATTTAAACCAGATTCTGGATTAACACCTGAAAAAGTTTCTACATTGATACCTTTGAAAAATAAAGTACAATTTATATTTAAAAAAAACATTCCTCCCAAAAAAGCTTAATTGTTCGTTCAGTACCTATACAAATAAAAAACAATGCTAAGAAGAAAAGTACATTTGTTACGAAGCTAAGAAATGCTAAGAATTTCGAATGAATTAAGAAATGCTAAGAATGCTAAGAATTTAAGAAATGCTAAGAAGCCACATCAAATACTCTTATTGTAGCTGAATATTTCCTCTAATCCTAATGTTTTGTTAAGCATTCCACTGGCTTTGCCCCAAAACTTTTAGACGTATAAACTGAGAATACTTATTATTTTGCTTAAACGAAAACTGCTGTCCTACCCTTTTGGTAAATTATTTGGTGGTGCGAAAGACTCGTATACTTAAAATAAAAACATTTACTTTGAGGTGTTAAAGAGCTTCCAATCGATTATCATCTGATTCTAATTAAACATTTGGAAAACTTATAGTACAGAGACCTATTATATGCTTTTCACAGCAGGAAACAATAAATCTCATATGTGCCCTCATAAAGATTCGAACCGCGGATCTTCTAATTGCAAGTTGGACAGGATAAACTCTTACATCTCAAGAGCAAGCACAGAAGAAAGCGATAATTCTTTACATTTTCTTTCAGTTGAAGTAAGTTTGGAGAGAGTAAGGTCTAGTGGATCCATGTGGTGACGAATTATCATCCACAACAGTTTCCTTCAGGCGTCATTGTAGAAAAATATGTTTTTTTTGGGGGGGGGCATACGAAACATGGAAAATCAACTGCACCTTTGCAGGGATTCGAAACACGGATCTTCCAACTTCCAGGTAGTTGCGCTAGTCATTAACGTTACAAGTGCACCCATAAGAGAATGCGATAATTCCTTACAATGTAGCTACATATTCTTGCAGAAGGAAATTTTTTCGTTGATAAAAAACTTAGTTAAATTTCATTTGATTAAAATTACGCATAAAAGTGGAAAGAAAAGAAAGTAGAAATATTTAACTCGCAGAGTGATTTATATTCACTCGTCGTTGGCACCATACGTCTCCCATATAAGTCCGACGAAGAATTCAACATCTTAAACGCCTAATTATAAACGCCAAATATGGCATAAATGCTCATCTGCTGCAAGGAGTGGAAGCAATTGCCTGCTTTGACAGGATACGAATTCCATGAGTATTTGGCGCACACTGATTCAAAAAATTATCTTTCTGAGGACTTTATATGTATGATCCAATTTTTTCTAATAATAATTCTATTAATAATATTTCAAGAGAAAGCGGGTATTGTAAACTTTTTGCATGCGAAATAATCCTACTGAACACCTTTCAAGTACGATTGAATAAAATTTCGGCCTAGCGAGAAATGTGCACAAAATGTTAATGTCCAATAGCGGTTTTTATCGGGTCAACACAGTTTTCCTTTTTCTAACCCCGGACTCTCAAATATGATGACTATTACTTTTCGAAACATGCAAGAGAAAAGTGTTTGTATTTCTTATAAAAATATATTATAAAATTACCTTTCTTCTCAGAATTGTTCGTGAATTCCACGTTTGAACTTTATTAAATTATATTTTGAAATCACAACATTACGCGAAATAACTGCATTGCCTCATAAAGTGAATGAATAGAGATGAAGAGTTACTGGTAAACCACGAATCGGTGAAAATCACATGGTAATTAGCTAGATGTTTTAATATGAGCAACTGTGCGACTTACAAGTTTTGAAAACAAGCTCTTAAATGAACAGTGAAGGAAGACCTAGGGCTAAAACTGCAATGGATAACAGAATAATTTTAATTATCTTTTCGACTGATAGGACATCTGCTTCAGTTGTGATACAAATTGCCAGTTAAAGAAAATTTTAATTAATTAATTATCCGCAATTAAATTAATTAATTGGGGAAGCACACTTAAAGAAAACGTACGTTTAAATCGAGATGAAAGGCCAATTATTGTGAAAAATACCATTCTGAGCAACTTTGGTACTATTAATAAAACATGGTAAAAAACGGTAAATTTGCATTTGTTTTTATTTATTTAATGTTGAAAATAGAATTGTAGCATAAGTTGTTTCATGTTACCGAATTGCTACTGCAGGCTTAGTTGGTAATTTGGGAAGAAATTGGCTTATAAATAATCTTTGGGAAGAAATTGGCTTAAAAATTGTTCAAGAACTGCATATAGAAATTCTATATGCAGTTCTTGAACAATTTTTTACGAGCATAGTTATTTCAGATTACTATGATTAAAATGGATTAATATTAACTAAGAACACGGCATAAGTTATTTACGTAGTAGAATAAAATTTACCTTCGAGCTTCCCAACTGATACTGATCTTTTGATCCAGGTATCTTGTCAAGGATGACGCGGCAAACATCTCGAGACGGAGATCCCCGAGGTAACCTGCCAGGCACTATACAACGATACCTGAAAAGAAAAAGGTGAAGAAAATTGATACCAACCACAAACATCGTTACAAGGCAAATAAATTTTCCGTAGCAGAACTAAGTAGAGGAGAAGAGGACAAATGCAAAGTGGAACTGACTACAGATTTTAGACAAATCTTCAGAAGACTATAATTGACTGCTTTACAAAAGCCTCAACGTAAAGAACATTCTACTAATATGTATTTATGTTACCACTTAGATTTAAAATAAAATTACGTAGTTTGCATCCTCTCTTTTACTTCCATCTTTTGTATTAAGTAAAGCTTAGTTTTGACACAAAAGGCAGAAAATATTATTTTTTAAATTAAGCTGATCGAGACCTAAAAACGAATTGTGATTACAATTTACAACAATAAATAAATGTGTGTAAGATAAAACATACAAAGCAAACTTCTAATTTTAATTAGTCAGTAGCTTCTTTATTATCATTTTAGTATGCGTACTTTCGCTTTCTCTCCTAGAAACAGTAACTATTTATAACATATCGATCTCAAATGCGCCATTTCAAAATTAATCAGTAACATAAGATCTAAGGTAACCGGCAATGCAGATATCCTTTATCAAATCATAGATCAAGATTTCTGTTAAAGAATCTAAACTTTAAAAATTTTTCCAAGTTTCTAAATGAACAGTCATTCTTCTGCTTTGCTTGTTGCATGCTAGGATGCTGTCGTTTACCTCTCTTTCTCTCTCTCTCTGTTATCCATTATGTGTCTTTTGAAGAGAACGTTACGAAAATTGTGTGTATATATATATATATATAAGGAATTTCAGATTCTGTGACAGTAGTACCTATCAAAATGTGAAATTAAAATGCAATTACTCTCAGAGCATCTTTTTAAATTTCCTTTTCGTTACAAAGAGTTTGCAATTGTTTCAATCATACGACATTACTACTTTTATTATATGAATTTGTTTTTTCACTTTTTATATTGTAATTAGCTGTTCAAAAAAGTGTATATAGCCCTTAACGGGTTTGAAAGAATATGGCAGAATTTATGAGTACATTTCAATTTATTAATCATAAATTCTGCCATATTGTTTCAAACAATATCGGATTTTTAACGCTTGGCTTATATTTTGTATCCTAAGGTTTAGAAATATACTGAATTTTGAATATTTAAAGTAATACAATCATAATCATAGATTATAAATGCGAAATGCTTAGAAAATTCATTGAAATTAAAGAGTCATTAAGATTTTTGAAGGAGGAAGCACGAAAAATGAGCAATGCTCTCGCAAGGACTTGAACCTGGACCTCTCGAATTACACCACGAAGGCATGCAGAAAAAAGGGGGAAATACCTTATAAAATATTCGTTTCATTAAAACTTAATTATAAGCAAGTAACTGTAAATTCTCATTTTTTGGACTGAGATATCGAACAACTGTTTTCGTTTTGAGTAGCTTTCAAGATTCAAAATTTTTAAATCCTGAAGTGATGTAACTATTAAGTCACCTGTTAGTAAGTCAGCTATGGCCCTATAGTCTTGATGAAAACGTCGTTACGATAAATATTAAATTATTAAGAATTAAACTGAAATACAGTACATTATATTCCTTTTAGCAAGATAAGACTCTGCATTATTATAACATATTCATTTAGAGATCGAACAAACTTAGCTATTTTTAAAAGTTTCTTTGAAGAATTAAAATTGCACTAAGAGAATCGCAATCAAATAATCAACTAATAATGTGAAGTTAGGTGTTTTCATGTTTAATTAAACAGCAATAACAAAAACAAATAAAATACTTTAAAAGTATTTTGAATTTTATAAAGTATAATTTCGCTTGTTCAAAATATTATCTGTCGGATAATACTGAATTGATAAAAATAATTCCCATATGCTAAAACAATAGTGTTGCAGAACGAAGCAATGTTAATGAATTATTTTTAATTATTTGATGCTTATAATTTCAGAATTTCATACTTCTGATTTAACGATTTCACATTAACTTCACATTTTGAAATTTACTGCTCGTATTATCAAAAAAGATACTTTAAAAGATAATCCTATTTTTCCATTACATTTAATTTTGCACAAGTATTTTAATTGGCGATCGCTGTTTTGAAAACGGTGACGAAAGATATTTTTAAAGAGATCTAATTTATCTTTGTCTGTTGCCTAAAGGAAATTTTCTCTTTAATTCGAAGGAAAGGGAAAGCTTTAATTCCTTCTCTTTACTGCAAGTCCAAAAAGTAAAGAAAACAAAGCCAATTAAAAACATTTTCCCTCGTCACCTTGCGATTCTTATCTGGCATTTATGCTTTTGAAGTACTACGCTCCACAAACCAACCTTTGAAAAGTGACAAAAATTCTCAGAGCGTAACAGAAATAAGTGTTACGCCGTTCATAGCTTTCAGCCGAGAGTATAAATATTCTGATTTGTCATTACATGACTAAGGAGAAAAACTGTGATCTTTTAAGCGAAAAGTTCAAACTCTAATAAATAAATAAATCGCTTTTACAATATCTTCATTTACACAAAACAAGTCATTTTTATATGCAAATTTCATATTTTTCTGAATAATACAAGTAAAATGAAAACAGCTGCATGAGAATGATGAAAAGCAGTCTAGGAATACTCGCTTATTCAGAACTAGCTCATTCCGGAAATCTTGTGATCGATTACCCGTATAATTTTTACAATGAAGTCACGATAGTGTTTAATGTTTATTTAACAACTCATGTCAGTTCCAAACAATATTCGCTTGCCTTTAATTTTATAAAATAGTGATAATAAAAAGTTAAACGCATTTAAGAAATGAAATAAATAATTTAGGGAAAGAAAATAATAGCCCACTTTCTGAAATCCATGAAGATGGGATAACAATATTTATTGATAAGTATTATTATTATCACATCTTAAATTAAGAAATAAATTCGTTAAAGAGATAAGGTGTAAAATCTGGTTAACAAGACCTGGAGTAAAACAAAACCCACTTCAATAAGATAGTTAGATACTTTTCTTTGTTTGCTGCCATCCGATATTAAATCTCGTGAAGTTGGTGCTTTTCTTCTATTCTTCTTCTGTTTCTTCTTTTGCTTTTCAAATGTTCAATATTTATTCCTTGCAATTTTTTTTTTCAACTCAGAAGTTATTTAATCAATAATTATTCTTGCGAATATTAGCAATTTCTCCTCCTTTCGTAATAATGGAGATTCAAAATATTTTAGTCGACATTTGTTCATTAAAAGCAATTACGCTTACTTGGTTACCATCCCGTTCATTATTTATAAAACTGTTTGAATCCTCTATAATTTAAATATTCAGGTTATTTTTCTGTTTCTTTCATATTTCAATCCTTAAATTATAAACAAATCTGAATACCCCATGTTCGAGGCATCGCTTACAGTGCGGTCATTTAGACACTATTAAAACCGACCTTTGAAATTTACAAGTTAAAGAGCGCAAAAATTTCAAATAAAGAGAACGTATTAATAAATCATTCTGATACTACAGTTTTTTCCAACAACGGGTTCTTTCCTCTGAAATTATATATTAAAAAAATGCGATTTACAAGTTACATTTCCCTCATGTTTGAAATTAAATTTTGCAAACTTAAAGAGCGAAGAGTACATAATCACTTTTTTCTTTAAAAGTAAAGGACAGTTAGACTGGCCATTTAAATCTTTTAAATAAGTAGCACAAAAACAAGAGTAACATGCTGTAAAGGAATGAGATAAATGGGATTGTTAAAAATTAAAGCTTTTTCTTCTATCTTTTCTCTAATTTCAGTCTCCAGGCAATAAAATGATCTTTTATCCCTTGTGGGAATAAAATTACTAACACAGTGCTTTTAATTTTTAAACAGTTTTCACATATTTATTTCCAATCAAATTAAATCTTCCGAACTAAATAGCTAAGTATGTTATTTATATGTGTTGAAACTCTTAACTAACGAAATTTGAAGTAAATTTCTGCACTTTTCCTTTATACACTTGTCACGCTTTATGGCGCGTGGCAGGTGATGATCGGCCAACACCTGCCCCGAGGTGTGTGTGTGTGGAATATGTGTGTTTGCTATCTATAAAATATTTTTATAGAAACCGTTTATATAAATAAAAATTCTATAAAATGCATTGCAGGTGCATAACCGAAAATATCGAAACGTGATACAAATTGGATTAAAAGTGTTACTATTTGCGATTTATTCTGCTCAACAACAGCTTTCGCTTTTACAAATTTGTTTTAAAATTTTCAAATATGTATACTATGATCGAATACTATAACAAACGAATAACAAGGGGCGGGTGAATTTCATCTACGATTTATCATCTTAGACCTTAAGGGCTATTTGTCTCAAAAGACATTTTGCGTCGTTTTACTTTGTGCATTCATTCACTTTCCAGACTGTTGCCACCAAATATTATCGCTATGTATTATATTTAAAGAAACTAAATAATGAAGAATCTGCAAAATGTTTCTCGCATTGCGAAAAAAAAAACAACGGAACCTAGAGCCATCAAATTTTAAATAGAATAATGTAGTCCTCCAACCGAACATGAACACTTGGAAGACCGAATATTGTATTTCGATCTTTTTTTAATCCATTTCAAATTTTGTAAAATTTTAACGAATTTTTGAGTAACAAACTTAATGATTTCAAAGTGAGCAGTGGCAACACTCTATAGGAAATTTTTTTTTCCTCCAGAGCGCAAGACTGTGAATCGGAAATTCTAAAGATATGCTCTTTTAAAATTATTTTGTGATACTGCTGTTAAATTGAATTTTATGTTTTAAGTGTGAAAAAAATATTTAATAAGTAAAGGTAACACCATAAAACGTTAAAAAAACGCCCCTTTGAGCGTAATATAAAATCTGAAAGGCTTTCAGTTTTTTTTTTAATTTTATCAATAATTTATTATTATTATTAAGAGAGCTTTATATATCTATACACTTGAAATCTTTATTCGATTCAACATATTTTTATTACTTTGAACTGCGATATATTTATACTGTCAACTCTGTTCACATTTTACCTTACATCAGGCGTAAGGAACTAATTAATATTTTACAAAATGTTTGGTCATAAATTTCCTAATTATTTGACTTAAAACAGTTAATAGTTTTGAAAGAATTTTTCCTTTCTTTAAAATCTAGCATCGAGGTATCTATATTCTTATTGCGAAAAAGGAAGAATTATTTTAGAAGCCCATGACGTACCTTTAGTTTAAAAAAAAAAAAAAAGTATTCTGGACATATCGTTCTCATACAAAACATCGGAAG